ATGTCAATCCGTTCCCAATACCCATTGGCTCCCATCTCCTAACCCCAGTCAACCAGCAGTCAGCTCTTTCATCATTTCAATTACTTCAGCGTGTTGGAGAAGGATCAGGTATTGTCCAGCTCCGGGGCCGGCTTTATTCCCTGCATAACTCTGCAGAATTGAGCATGGTGTCTTAGTAGACAGCAGCTGGTCGCTTTGTGTTGTGATACTCCATGCAACAGTTTGCTTCTTCATGCTTTAATCACACATAGTAAAGAACATACGGGTTAGTTTCTATTCTGGAATCTCCTGTGACGTTGGCCATCTCTCTGAAGCTTCCAGAATTGCAGACTCCTCTCTGAACAGTTGGTACCTAGGACCCCTTACCTCTGCCCTCATTCCTTTTCTCAGGAGCCATCACTTTCATTGCGCATGGACTATTGCCCTAAGATCAGATTCTAATAAACCAAGTGGTGTTATTTTGATTTTGGGCTAGAGTGTGGAACTTAATGGAAGGCAGGCTAAAGCCATTCTCAACTCCTCATTTCCTGTGTGTGGTGGTCTCTCAGGACACTCTGTGGGACTCCTTAAATCAAATATAGAAAGGGACTCTCCTCTCCAGTCCACGCAGGCCTAGTCTTAGCCTGTCTTTCTCCTGTCTGCTGTAGTCACCCTCAAAGTTCCCCAGCTCTTCCCCACATCACAGTCCCTCCAGGGTGCATCAGGGAGCTGAGGGCTTGTAGGATAGCTACTCAGAAACAAGTGCCAAGATGGCCGGGAGTTGTTGCGGGAGGTCCTTCCGCCCCTCTAACCAATAGCTGCTGTGATACCAGCCCATTGGGGCGTGGTCTCTCTCCCTTTAAAAAAGCGGCTATTTCCTCTGCTCGCTCTCTTCACTTCCTGCTCCGCTGGAGACTAGACTCCCTTCCTGGTTGTGCAGATGGCTGTTGTCTGGGATGGTGATCTGTAAGTTTTTTCCCCTTTAAATAAATAACACCTTATTAATCATAACTCCAAACTGGTGTGGCCTTGTTCGTGACTTACGCCTTCAGGGAGTAGGAAGCAAGATGGCACCACACTGCTGATTGTTTCTTTTTTTTTTTTTTTAAAGATTTATTATTTATTTATTATGTATACAACATTCTGCCTCCATGTATGCCCGCACGCCCAAAGAGGGCGCCAGATCTCATTACAGATGGTTGTGAGCCACCATGTGGTTGCTGGGAATTGAACTCAGGACCTCTGGAAGAGCAGGCAGTGCTCTTAACCACTGAGCCATCGCTCCATCCCCTGCTGATTGTTTCTTGTGGTCGTGAGTGAACAGGATGAGAATGGATGGATGAGGTAAGAACAGATGAACAAATGGATGAGAAAGATTGGACAGAGAGGAATAAAACTTTTCCCAAGGCATGGGTTCAATCTCAGAGGCTGTGTTTTCTTATTCACACATGTGGTAGATTGTTCTGGAAGCAGCATTGAAACCCTGGAAACGGAAAATAGATATTTAGTCTCCCAGTGGCTAAGATGTGTAATATTTGGATACAGACTTTATATGTGCTACTTGCTTGCCCAATCACAATCTGTGACCCACAGCATGCCTTGTATATTATAATAGTAACCTATAATATAATGTAATTTTGGTTATAATCTTTGTCTGGTTTGTAATTTTTACTATATTTTAACTTTAAGTAACTTTAATTTATCTGATCATCTCAGCAATAATATTTTTGATTTAGTCCCAATGATGTTCTAGTAATGAATGTTAGTTAACTTTTGGGGGTAAGATGAAATCAGAAAACTGATCCAGAAATCATTTAGAGTAAGAGAATTAGGATAAACAGCATGTTTCCCTCTTCCAGATGCCAAAGCAAATGGTTACTTCTGTATTTAGATTTTTAAAAAATTCTTATTTAAAATATATGACATTTTCCCTTTCTTTCCCTCTTTCAAATCCCTCCCATGTCCTGTCCCTGTAACCCAGTGATTCTCAACCTTGCTAATTCTGCAAGCCTTTAATACAGCTCCTTATGTTGTGCTGACCCCAACCATAGAATTATTTTTGTTTCTACTTCATCACTGTAATTTTGTTAGTACTATGAATTATAATTTTTCTGATGATCTTAGGTGACCGCTGTTTTTCTGAAGGCCTTAGGTGACCCTGTGAAAGGGTCGTTCAGCACCCAAAGGGGTCGCCAACCCCAGGTTGAGAACCACTGCTCTTATCACCCTCATGTCACCCCACTATTTCTCAAACTGATTACGGTGGAGAACTCTCAGCTCCCTCCCTAGCACCACATCTGCATGCCGCCATACTTCTCACCATGATGATAATGGACTAGACCTCTGAAACTGTAAGCCAGCCCTAACAGAATGTTTTATTTTTTAACAGTTGCCATGGTCATGGTGTCTTCTCACAGCAATAAAACCCTAACCAAGAGACGAAGCATCATGCTCACATATGAAGCTCAGGAGTATAACAACGAGAAACGAGAGAGAAAAGGTTCCAGTGGAGTTGGTGTGAACCTGTGTGCGGGATTTCCACCAGCATACAGCATTGAGCCTTCTGGGCACTTAGTACTGGAAGGCAGAAATTCATGGTGATCAACCAGGAAAGCAAGGAACTGTAGAAAGGCATTCAGGAAAGTCATTACCGGAGTGTAGGCGAGGGCTGGGGACGGTGGTCCCAGCTGCACAGTGATCCCGTTGGTATGTGTGTAACGGCAGGAGCAGTTTCGCTACGCTGCTTTTGGCATGCTGGAGATACACAGGAGTCTGTGATTCAATATGCAATGAAACCCTGTGAGCGAATGGTAGTGAGGGGGTAAGAGAGCTCGCTTCTTCCCTCCCCTGACTCTAAGAAGAAGCAGGACCAGCAAGGGGGCCAGTTCTCCTATGGCCTCTTCCCCCGCCTTATCTAATAACTTGGTTATTAGCCTTGTTCCCACGGAGTAGTTAGTGAAAATCAGTGTGTGAGATCATTACGCTCTAATTGCATCCCACTGAGCAGGCCTGGCATCTGACACAGCCCCGACTCATCGTGCGGTCCTTGATGTTGGCACTAGCGCTCCGCAGCCCCCTGTGTCTCAGGGCTCTGGTCTGTGTCTCCTCAGTGACACTCAATCTTCTGTCTCCTGTTCACCCGTGCTCCTCCATCAGCTTAGAAACCATTCAGCCATACAGTTGTTAGTGTTGCTGTTTGGTTGTTTTGTTTTTATTTTTATATATTTGAGACAGGATCTCTTGTATCTCGGGGTAACCTCATGACCTCAAACTCATCATGTAACCATGGACAACCATGGACTTTTTTGGTCCTCTACTCTTTACCTTCAGAATGCTGGGATTGCAGGCATATGCTGTCGTTTTGGATTTATGAGGTGTTGAGGATGGAACACACGGCTTTATGCATGCTAGGCAATACTCTACCAACTCAGTTACACTCCCCAGCTCCACTCCCCTTTTAAGTTGTATTTTCTATTTTTTTGTTGAAGTGAATTGATTTAACTAGCCACAAATAAATAATAGATATCACACTCATGTATTACTGAATATAACACACTATATATAGATATACGTATATACAAAAAAGTATTACAGAATTCATTCGTCAGACGCAAAGGTTGCCCATCAACTCCACAACCTTGGCATTGCAGGATGGGAAGGGCAGGTGTGCATCCCTTTTCCTTATTCCCCCTGTGTCCTGAACGGAGATGTCACCTCATCCCAGCTCCTCATATCAATAGTAACTTTCTGTTGTTGTAGGTAGAAGCAAGAAAAGGAAGGGCTCAAGAAGAGGAGAAACTTTAAGCGTTGGGTCTTTGTGTGTATCATCTAATTGTAAGAGCACATGGTTGCTAAAGTAGGACCTGTCAAGTTCCATGGGGTGATAGAGTACAGACACCTGTGTGAGTTTGGGGTGATAGAGTACAGACCCCTGCGTGCGTTCTGGGTTCCTAGGCATCTTTCCTGCCTGGGTGGGTAGGAATGCAGCTGCCCATGTGTCATGATTGCAGGAGTGTGCTTCAGTGACTTCTAGCTTGCAGGAACATGCCACCCTGCCTGGTGTCTCCGCAACCACTAGGCCTGTGCAGCACAACCTGCAAACAACCTGTTGAAATCCTTTTACGTCGTCATTTCCCTCTCCTCCCTTTCTTCCTCCTCCTTCTCCTATATGAGTTATATATGAGTATAACCTGCTCATTCTGTTTAATGTTGTTTATATGAATGTTTTCAGGGCTGACCATTTAGTAATGGATAACTAAGTTTTTGATAACTAAGTTCAGGCCTTCCACTGAACACTACCGTTTTGCCTAGACTGGGTGGCCAGTAAGCATTCTCCTGTCTCTACCTCCCCAGCACCAGTGTGCATCTGAGTGCCACTACCTACTTTGGTTTTGACATCAGAAGTAAGTATTCATGCTTGGACAGCCAGCACTGTGACCACTGAACCATCTGCCCATCCTCCTTTTCTTTTCGCTTTCATGATTCAGGTTTTACAAAAAATAAAAATAGGAAAGTATCGTTGATCATCTTTCCTGGACAGTAGCCTGTGGACCCATAGTGCCTCTGATAAGATTGACATCTGGCCCACTCTGCAGTCACTGGGAGGGGTCACATCAGGGCAACCTTCCAATTGAGTTTTTCCCCAGGTTGAGATTATAGGTCTTCCATTAAATTATTTAACTTGTGATATGTGACATTATTAATTATTGTTAAATGGCAGATTAGAAGGGAATGTGTGGATAATGTATACTAAGTATAATATGGTAAAGGTGATATTGAGAATTTCATAAGTGGCTAAATTTCAATAAGATTTTGCTAGGATTTATTCAACGTGAGCTTGGAAAAAAAAAGTGCATGCCCTTGAGTCCTCCCCCAACAAGACCCCTTTTCTTATGCTCCAGGAAAACATTTGGGGCACTATACCAATGCTGAGCATCTCGCCCTAGAGACAGCAACCACCCTAGCATGTGTGGACACCTGGTTCTCCATCACCTGACCAGCTGTTGTTTGTTCTTATACAGCATCCATCGCGTCCACCTGCAATGACCCTGGAATGCCCCAGAATGGTACCCGCTATGGTGACAGCCGGGAACCTGGAGATACCATCACCTTCCAGTGTGACCCTGGATACCAGCTCCAAGGACAAGCCAAAATCACCTGTGTGCAGCTAAACAGCCGCTTCTTCTGGCAGCCAGACCCCCCTTCGTGCATAGGTACTGGGCCCGGGGAAATGGAACTGACAGGCTTGGAAATGAATGTAGCCTACCTTTTGGATCGGCCTGCTAATGATTGTTTCTTCAGGAGGACGTTTCAGGAGCTTCTTAAATGGCCTCAGGCTCTCTGAGACAATGCTGAAATTTTATTGCAATCCTTTATTTTATTAGATGAACTAAAGGGTGTGATTTCCTTAATGTACAGTAATTGACATTTATCTAACATTTCTTGTCCTTAAGAGTTCTTATGTAAATATATATCAACCAAGCCTGTGCGACTTAAAATATTACGTGGCTCAAAATTTATAAGCCCACCACTGCTGGCCTCATTTTTTTAATATAAAGCACACATTCAAGCAAAACCTACTACTGCAAAGCTCCTTCTCTTTTCAGAAGTATGTTTTTCTATAATATCCTGAAAAGTAGAAATTATATTGCCTTTGGGGAAAATGAAAATAGAGAATAAAATTGTGTGCAACACTAATTAAAACTCTCTGTCCAACTTATTAATGTAGTAATAAATGGCTTTGGCAGCTATGGTCTTAATAAACATCTAAGGTCTTATTAGATGTCTAAGATGATCTTTCACAAATATGATCTTAGGGAAATAGATTCTCATATTAAAATAGGAATTATATGTAAATTGCCCTTCATTCTGTTAAATATTTTAACATAAAATATCTATTTAAAGCATTCAGTCATAGTTCCAAAATGATATTTAACTAAACTTTATATTTTTAATGAACTATTTAGCTTACTTGGTACTTCTAGATCTTCTGCTTGAAGGTGTAAAAATTAAATTGATCTGTGACAAAAGGCTGTGTCAGGGAAGCGAGGGACGCTCTCCTGGCCTTGAAGACAGGTGAGATTGGAGAGTTCCGTTCATCAGCACCTGGCTTAGAGGAACACCGTCCCTGTCTCGTAGGCATCTCTGTGCCTTCATCTTCCTTGCCTTTAAGCATGGTCGGTCTTTCATTGCCTGCCCTGTTAATAGCTGACTCCTGACACTTGGAATATTTTTCAAAATAGAATATATGCATCTATCGTTGTAAACTTCTTTCTTTTTATTTTGTGAAGGTTCCTGAAAGTGGGGCTTCTCCTTCTGCCTCTTATCAGCGGTTGTGGACGTGTGTATCTATGTTGTATGTACATGTCCTTTATGTGAGTTGTATGTGTATTTTGTGTGCACCTGTGTGTGTTGGATACATATTCTGTGCCTGATTTTTATGTGTCCATGTGTTTTTTATATTTGTTATGCATTGTTATGTATACATATGTACTGTACATGTTTGCCTATGTTGTCTGAATGATTTAATTTTCTTCCATTTTATACCTTTAATCTCACAAAGGGAAGCATTAAAAAGGAATTCTAAGTTAATCTCCTAAAGACAATTTATCCTTTCTGTGTTCAAGGGGTAATTGTAAAATTTGACTACTCCTTGATTCTCCGTACCTTTGACAAAGCCATCTCTCAGTTACCTAAGCAAGAGCTCAAAAACCCACAGCTCAGCACAAAGCCCTTGTTGTCCTTCTGGGTCTGAGCAGCCCTTCCAAGGGCAAGTGGAAATCCTTTGCGACAACTGAATAGTCAGGCGTTTGAGGGACTGGGCCAGGTTACCCGGATAGATGTTCTGTGACAGAAAGACAGATGTCATTGCACTGTGAATTTCACTTGTCAGAAGTGAGGGTTGTGTCCCCTGCAGCGTATTTCCGGAGATGCCTCAGCTGACTGTGAACAAGCTCCCATCTAAATCCTTTACTCAGCAGGCAACATTTTTTAAAACTTTTTTTCTCATTTGGAGATAATACACGTTCATTGCGAGTGCTTTATAAGCTATAACAAAGCAAGAAGTGAAAAGAGATGTCTTTTTAACTGGAAGCATTTGCTATTAACATAAACATACATCAATAAAATTCATAAGCATATGTATAGATGCTGCTTTAAAGTGACTATAAACATGTCCTGGTGAACACTAACGTAGCCGTACAAGGTGTTTTGGGTGCTCTTTTGTTTTTCTTAGTGATGTGGGGTATCTGAGCACAGCTCACTCTTCTGATCAGGGACACTGTCTGTTCTTTCATCAGTGCCGTCTAATAGTGCTGCACCCATCTTTTCTGTACAAAGGCACAATGAAGTTCGTTTTATGAGTCATCCATAATAGAGCAGCCTCTGTAAAGCGTCTGTGATTGGAGAGCACTGGTGTCTTTCTTCAGACGTATCTCTCTAAGACACAAGACCCCCCAAAAGTATCTTTACAGCAACTTTGCTTGTCATTAGCCATGTTTGCTTACTTGCCCTAATCAGAAAATTGCAATTTAGGAGGGTTCTTAACCTTAGTGTGTGGACAGAAAGTGATACATTATTCTTGTTTTAATTCACATTCTACATTAGACATGGGTCTGAACCTTATCTTTCCACTTGATTGCTGGTTGGGTGATTTGTTTTTTGTTTGTTTGTTGCGGGTAGGTGGTTTTGTGTTGTTTTTTGCAGACTGGCCAGCTACCATTCTATTCATTTCCCCCACCATCAGTGTGCTCTGCCCCCTTTGTGTGTACCAGCTCCTTTTTGCTTCACGCTCCCCTGACATGCCACCAGCTCCCCATGACACATCTAACATGCATTTTCCAGGCTTTGCTGATAATTTCCTCAACATCTGCATTATTATCTCTCTTCTTTTTCTTTCTGAAAGCCCCTTGAAAAATGTAATGTCTCTTTTGGACTTTTATAGTTTAGCTGTGGTGTGTGTGTGTGTGTGTGTGTGTCCGTCTGTCTGTCTGTCTGTCTGTCTGTGTCTGTATGTTATATGTGCATCTCTGTGTTTGTCTTTGCATGGTTTTGTATTTGTGTGTGTTGGGTGTTACATGTATATGCTTGTGTGTTGTGTGTGTAAACATACATATATGTGTGTTATGTGAAGGGTGTGGGAATACACGTGAATATGTGGTTGTGCTCACTGTTGCATGTGTGTACATGTGGAGCCCAGAAATCAGTATCAGGTATCTTCTTTAACCATCTTAGTTTCTGAGACAGAGTCTCTCTGAGTTCAAACTGGAATTCATCAGTTTGACTAGACAAACTGGATAGCAATACCCTGAAATCCACCCATGCCCACCCTCCCACACCATCTCTGGTGTTAACTTGGTTATGGCTATGATCAGCTTTATCCACGGATCCTGGAAGAGTAAATTTGGCTCCTCATCCTTGTACACTGTGTGCCTTACCCATGAGCCTTCTCTTCAGCAATATAGCCTGGTCTTCAGGCTGGGGTCTCCAAACTAGAGCACGCTGAATTTTTATAATCAGAATAGTGTGCTCTGTCCCTCAAAGCCCTCAAGTTTCACTTTGTTTAGTCTTTTTTTTTTCTTGGGGTCCAAATTCTACAGTGCTCTAAAAAGCGTCCATTTATCTTCTATCTGCACACATGATTTGATGACCAGAGATGGCCCCGACCCGCAGGGCAGGATGACTGGTTAAAGACTCCCTGGATGGTGTGAACGCTTCAGGGTTGTGTGCAGGAATGCTGGCTGTCTCGTTAGAGGGGTTGCGCATGAGCTGAGTGGGAGCTGACCTGTGCGAATAGGCTTGTGACACAGATGGGTCTGAGCATGCTTTTGTGGACCCAAAGTCCAGGCAGAGCTGCTAGAGCCTCTGAACTACATCTTCTGAACTCGAATTCCGGCGAAAAGGTTTTATGAGCTCTCTAATTAAAGCCTAATGAAGCGCAGATGAAGGATTCCAGAACCAGAAAGGATGGTGCTACTTAACACCACACAGCTTAACAGCTTCATTTGGTGGAGCTCCGGGGACCAGCAGGAAGGACCTGATTCCCCTGTGTTTCCGACAAGTCAATATTTGAGTCACACTCTGAGCAGCCCTCTGTGACAGTGCCCCAAATCTGTCCCAGTTCCTCCCCCAAGTCCTCGGTAGAATTAGAATCTGCCTGGCTTTCAGGCACCTCTAGCTCCACACTGCTATATCAGCATGGCAGCCCTCTCGGGTCTACTTCTTATCCCAGACGCTGTAAGCATCCGTCATGATGGGTGATGTGGGAACAGCTTTCAATGAGGGCAACACAGGGACCACATGATGATGACTTCATGCCAACAGATACAGGCCTTCATCATCTGTCACACGTCTCGTGTAACTTGAGTGCACTCTCATGGTATTCAGAGTGGCATTGGTCAAACTGAGTTTATTGTGAAACCCGATGATTTCATTGTATTTCATGTTTTGCAAAATTGGATTTTCAGGAATGATCAGTGACTTAACCATTACTTAATAGCTTAATGACCTAATCATGACTGAAAACTGTGGACTACTTTCTTCCACCCTCTTTAATCTTATTTATTTGAAGCAAATCTTTATTTGTAAAGGGGGGAAAGGGATGACCAATTAAGGTATTTTATTAGTTATTTATTCGCAAATATGCATATTTATTTATATTGTCAATGATATGAAATGTATATAATTTAAGAGGAATGCTGTAATTTAATTAAAATGATATTTTGAAACAACTTGGTCACAAGCCCCAGAATTTGCCCAAAGAACCATGGAATCTCTGACACATCAGCACCCTAAATACGTGACCTCACATAACTGCAGTGTTTGAACAATGCCCATGTGGTAAAGATCTAACAGAAATTGTATTTAATACTTAGAACAGTACTAAATATCTTCAGATTCTAGGAACCAAAATTATCCCACCTGATCGCAATGCTAAGCCATGTGGTCAATAGCCACCTGGAGTATATGTGAACGCAGGCAAGTCACAGCTAGTGGCTGCGAGGCTCACTCGATCCTTGCCATACAGAGTTTTAACAGTAATATCAAAGCGCTGTGATCATGCCCTCTCTCTAGGAGCAAGGGTTGCAACTCATTCCTCATCATGAGCCTTCCCTAAATATCCTATAAATAATCAGTGTTTGCTTTGTTGTTTTGATCCAGTGGGGAGAGAATCCCAGCCCCAAACTGTGTGGCCTTAAACTGTGATGTAACTACTCATCAAACAGTTGGTCCTTGAGTGCTTATGATGAACTGTCCTGGAAGTTAGACGCTAAGAAAGTTGGGCGGGTTGATCATTATGTCACCAAAAGCCTGTGTTCTAGAGGGTTCCCTGACTCATGTAAACCAATGAGCAGTGGCGGCAACATCATTGGGATCAAACTAACATTCAAGAAGGGTTTTATATCAAATTTTGAGTATAAGTACATGCGTGCATGTGTAGAGGGTGTGAGGGTTAAGCAGACTGTTCAATTTATTAGAATAAAATTTAAGTAATTAAAAGACATTTTATTTGCCATTTATAATCATGTGAAGCATAGCTGGGGGTGTAGGCTCACACCTGTAATCCTTACACGTGAGAGGCATGAGGATCACCATGGTTTCAAGGCCACCCTGACCTACAGTGTGAGTTCCAGGACAGCCTGGGCTATAGAACCTGCCTGAAAAGTAGATGGATAGGTAGGTAGGTAGGTAGGTAGGTAGGTAGGTAGGTAGGTAGGTAGGTAGATAGATAGATAGATAGATGGATGAATGTTTAAGAATTCTCTCTAAAAACAGGAAGAAGTATATATAGTCTAAAATCCTCAAGGATCACAAGGAAATGGTACAGATTTTGTGGGCTTTAATAACTTGTCCTAACATTTGGGGGTGAACTGTTTTAGATATCCATGCGGACAGTTGTTCCTTTTTAGAAAGAATTACTTGCCTGTGTTCAGCATTCTGGATCTCTGCTCTAACTGTCCCCCCCTGTGACTTTGTTCTGTGACAGCGGCTTGCGGTGGGAATCTGACGGGCCCGGCAGGAGTGATTTTATCCCCTAACTACCCACAGCCGTACCCTCCTGGGAAGGAGTGTGACTGGAGAATTAAGGTGAACCCGGACTTTGTCATTGCCTTGATATTCAAAAGGTGCGTCTGGTGCAGACTACCGCTCTTTGGTAGGATTTTAATGCCGAGTTCAACTTTCCGTGGGGTGAGCCAGCCAGCAGCTCAGTGTCTAGCAGCTACCCCGTCAGAGGCAGGGTGGCAGGAGCGGAGCTACTTTTCCTTGACGGGCAGTGCTCTGCATGTAAGACATGCATGGGTTTCTCTCACACGCTGCTCGTCTGGCCCATGGTGTGTTCTATACATCAATGCTTCACTTGCAGAATATTCAAGCCAGTGAAAACCACGCTGTGGGGATGCTTGAGGGAATGCCTCCTCGATGTCCCCCGTTTGTTGCAGTCAGGGAAGCCCAATTTCTTTCCATGTCTGACAGTTTCAGGCAGTGCTCTTACCATTGTTAAAACTGTTGAGATGAAGCGGACATAAAAACAGAAGATTCCCCAGACTTTGCCTGCTCGCTCTAAGGTTTGAATTCTAGACATCAGTGTCTAAGAAACGGACACTCACTCCTGTCCCACTAGATGATAAAAGTTCAGAGCCATAAAGATTTACTAAAATCAACTCCACTGTGGTTACTGCTTAAATGTGGACTGTCCTCTACCTACCCGGGTCTGAACCCTTGAACACAGCTGATGGTGCTGTTTGGAATCTTTTATATACAGGGCCTTATTCGTTGGCATCTAGTCATATAGGTGGGGCTTGGTGGTTACAGGAGAGTCCTGCTTCCAGCTAGGCTGGCCCTGAGCCACCAAAATATCAACAAGCCAGGCCATAACCTCTGGCCTCCATGGATGGATCCTTAGGCAGCCATGCCTTCCCCACCATTATAAAAATAGTCACTGAACAATGAGCCAAAATAAATCATTTTTTTCTTTGGATTGCTTCTGTCAGGCAATTGTTCTTAGTGAGGAAAAATGGCTTATACAATAACATATATTACATTATACCATATATGCTATGTGGTTATTAAATTTTAGTGACTATTGAGATCTTATCCAATAATATGCGTTGATTGTTTAAAAAAATAAATGAAGGAGATGTTCTGGAAGATAAATGGTTAAGTTGTCTTGCTAGCTAGCCTCTTAACCCATCAGGGCAAAGAGACTAGAAATTATTTCTCTGCCAGGGGGCAGGCTTCCTTGCCTCAGATTTTTTGAGCCTACACTCAGCCCCCAGGCATGTGAGCCTCTCTCACCATCCCTGATTCACGGTAACTCATGGGGCTGAGACTCTGGATGTCAGTCCGTTAACAGGGTACTTTCTCCTGAAGGAACTTCTACTGATGGTCAAAAGAACAAACACTTTCAGGACACGTGGTGAGCACACAGAATGGGTGAGTCTGCTCTGGCAGACACAGCTGTGTGATTGTTCACCGCATTTGGTGACCTCCCTTAAAATCTGCATGGCCATCTGATTCCTGGAGCTCAAGAGGGATACAAGCAGAGCCCCGTTACTCAGTCTCAAAGCTACCAAGGAAGAGTTCATTTGATAACAAATAAGGGCATTTATCTAAGGAAGGTTCCTTGCACTGTTTTTGCACACCTCTCTAAAAGATGGACAGCACAGATAATCCCCAAGTATCTCCAACTCTTTGGTTCTCTGAACCATTTGCTTGTTCCCTGTCTGTTTAGCTCCATATTCTGGTAGCTTCTCTGAGCTGGAAAGTCTGTGTGCTTAGATGAGAATCATCTGTGTCTGTCATCCCAGAATCCATGTGGCATGAGGGAAGTAGGCAGAATCCTGTGTAGGGAAAGGATGCCCCAGCAGGAGGAATCTAAGATGCTCTTCTGAGGCCTCTGTATGCGGACAGCAACCCCAGTCTTCAGAGAACCGTTAGAGTCTGGCAACACACAGGACTCTCTCAGAAGATTGAATTCTGATGTGCTCTTGTCGTGAAGATGAGAGTCTAAAAGAGAAATTGGAGAAGAGCATTCTAGAACCACAGCGAGTGTGTGCTGGTGTTGGTGATGGGGGGAAGAATGGTTATTATTGTCCCTCTGGACTGTATAGTCATGTCCATTCACAGGAACTCAAACCCACTGCACAGACTGAATTAGATCTGGGAAGTTACTAAGATTTAGAGGTATATCATGATATGTTAAGTATAAATAAGCTCTATTATTACAAAGGGAGTTGAAATTAATTGTAAATTAAACATCAGGGTTCTATGCCAAAACTATTGTATACTTTAAAAATGTTCAGCACAGAATGTGTTTTTATTTTCTTTCCTGTGTCTGATTGTATTTCAGTGTTCAGTTGGTAATTATGGTCGTAATCAGCCTTGCTAGACAGTGGAGATGGCACAGGACCAGGTTTTAGAATTATCCATGAAAATGACCATGACTAAAATTATTCTTCCAATAAAATCCCACATGACTTTGCGATTCTGCCAACTCCCTGGGCTTGGGAAGCTCCACTCTTCTCCATCCTGTCTAATGCAATAAGATTCAGGTTTCCAAATTATGAATTTGCAAACAGATTTGTTTAAGATAACAGTGATGTCATTGTGCCTCTCGGTAACAGATAACTCAAATCATGGAGTAGATGTTGATATTAAGAAAGAAAATAAAGAGGGAGAGAGAAGCACAGAAATTGGGAAGGAGGAAGAGAATGAAAGAATAAGAGAAAGATTACTTGGAATATTCAGTGTGGTACATGATAAGAAATATTTGTGCTCTGCTCCTGCAGGAACCATAAACATTGGCTCACTTACCTAAGGAAACAAAGATAATTATAGTTTTCAGTGGAAACATAGAGCAGTGAGAAGTTTTTGATTTTTAACTTTTATAATATATAGCAGTGCAAAGTACACACATTTTAAATCTCAAAACATTCACCTAGTAATCAAGATTCAGTGGAAATCTATTTCTTTTGAGTCTGGTCTCTTCCAAGTTGCCCTTCTTTAGCAGTGAAGGGGTGCTACACCAATATGACTATATTTTTTTTAGCTCCATTCAAAATTGTCTACTATTGGGTATGTTAGCCATTATGCAAAACACTGATGGTGCTTATTACAAATGATACTTCCAATTTAGCATGGTAATTGGTTTGTGTTTGATTTTGATAATAGTGATAATCAAAATTATCATGTAAAAGAAAACTAAAGTGTGATGTGCCCCAAAATGTTTGCTTGGAGACACGAGGTGGGCTTGTACTGGGGATGCAGGTGACACGGTCCTTCTTGTAGTTTTAGCATGGAACCAAGCTATGACTTCCTGCACATCTACGAAGGGGAGGACTCCAACAGCCCTCTGATTGGAAGCTTCCAGGGCTCGCAAGCGCCGGAGAGGATTGAGAGCAGTGGCAACAGCCTCTTCCTGGCCTTCAGGAGCGATGCTTCGGTTGGCCTGTCAGGGTTTGCCATTGAATTTAAAGGTATGTGCTGAGATGGATTTGTGGGAAATTTAAGTCGTGTCAGGGGCTACTTCTGATGTCAGTTACCACTTCACGAGATTTGTGTCTCAAATGTATGTGTTCCTAACCTGCCTGTGTAGATGTGGTGTGTGTGTGTGTGTGTGTGTGATCTTTTTGAAGAAGAGAACCCCACCTGTCGTGTTTTTAGAAACTTACTCTATCTCTGATGGAAAAGGATATAAAAATAGCAGGGAAATGTTTTTCCAGGTGCATTGTCTCCAGAAGATAGATTATGGCATTTGCAATAACTAGTTTGATGACATTTAAGAATCATTTTGATATGTGTTAGCATTTTCTGATTTCTCTCCTTAGATTTACATTCACTGAGATTGCATTGCCTCAGTCTTTCCCACTAGGACACTATCCATCACCCCCAGGTCTTCCTCACCCATGGGCTCATACTTGGCCAGACGCTCTGACCCAAGCAGATATTCATGTCTCTGAAGCTCAGATCCACAGCCCACAGGTGGTTTGTGATCTATCAAATCCAAGGAAAACAGAAAAAGCTGCGTACAACGCCACTCTAACCCGAGCACTTTGATGCAGAGTCGATGAAAACAAATTCCACAACATGAATTCCTTTGTGACTGAAGGAAGAGTGAGATTAAGACACAGCAATAATTAGACACAACTATTAGCCCGATGCCATCAATCATAATGAGGATTCGGGTAAAAATAAGAAACAAAATCTGGAGTGAAAATTATAAAGTAAAATGAACCTTCTGTCGTAGTCACAATTTTAATGGATTTGTATCGCTTTATAGGGCTCTAAAATAAAAATAAAGCAGTTGATCCTATGCCTTGGGGGTAGAAAAAGCTGTGTTTGGGAGTGATGAGAATGGCCCTTATGCATGTGCACCTCGTCTGATAGCACAAAGCCTTCTCCTAGTACACCATAGCTGCAGCCCAAGCAGCTACTCAAGCCAGAGTCCTCTAAAACCAAGGTATATAAAGTTCCAGTAGCCAGAGGTGAGGACAGCCTCTTCATTGGGTCCACTGTTTCCAGTATTTGTAGTTCCTAATGTTTGGAACATTTTCTGGAAGAGTCAGTGGGAAAGACTCACCCGAAGCTAACACAATTGGTGTCACCACACTGTCAAGGGCAAGAGATCTCAGGATGGGTGCAACAGACTGCAGGGATAGATTTGATGGGCCAGGAGGGGTCCCAGGGCAGCCCCCCAGAGGCCCTACATGTACCACTCATTTGTTCGACAAAGCAGGAATTTACAAAGGTCTTCCTAAGTGGAGTGGACAGGAACAACAGGAAAATACACACCGGTATGAAGTCATCTAATTAGAAAGCATAGCAAAATGTAAGCGGAAAGGGACTGTGATTTATCACTGCGCACTCAGAACTGACAATCGGTAAATAGAGCCACAAGATTCGATGCAGGTGTACGAAGGCAAACCAGCCACCCAACTCTCAATCAGTGGCGTGATATAGAGAGCTGTGTAAGCCATGTCTTACCAAGCCACACGCGGGTCTGAACGAGATTTCTAACAAAAGAGAATCAGAAAGAAGGTGAGGCCGTGGGTCTACATTGATTGACAGAACAGGAAAGGTTCCCTTTTGAATGAGGCAGGGTTGATGCCTACACACAAGCTGTGCTCACCCGAATGCTGAATGACTGCGGGAACAATGAAATGGGGTGACTTTGGTATGCATGAGCAAACAAAGAATGAAAATTAGGAAGGTTTTTTTGGTTGTTGTTCTTTATTTGCTTAAATGCTTAGTGATCTACATAGGATTCAGAGCTGCTATAAAGACTTATGAGAATATCATCTTCCATTTGGAATATATGGATATGTTTTCAAGGAGGCAAGTAGAGACACTTGTCGGTTGACAGGGGTGTCTGTCCCGCCCAGTCCTACATTTGTCCCAAATAAACACACCGAGGTCTACATTAAATAGAAACTGATTGGCCACATGGCTCGATACCTTATTCAGCAAGGCAGTCACATTTGCTTCCTCTGCGTCTGGGTCACGACTGGAGACTGAGCTTCCCTCTTCCCAGAATTCTCCTTTCCTCACACACTGACCATGATCAGGAAGACACAAAAAGTAACATCATCAACCTTGGTCCCAGACCAAAAGCCCAAACAATGGAATTCAGGATTGTACTTGTGCATCCCAATGCTCCTTGCATGTGTGATTGACACTACGTTTTCTGTAGAAGATAAAATAATTGGCATTTATCAACTTTTCATGGAGGCAGAGTTTTCAAACCAAAAGGAAAAGAGCTTCTATTTGCTTTTGAAGTTATCCCAGAGCCTGAACCAATCCTAATAACCTCATTATGCCCCATCCTGACACCACCAAAGAGACGGCCGTAACATTGAGCTGAATAGTGTCCTCCACCTTCTGGAACACCCACTGGGAAGTCCGCTCCGCAGACCTCACCCACACTAGGCACTCTTGTGGAGACGAAGAAGAAAGATATGCTTACTAAATAAAGCATGAATCAAACTATAATTTCACAGAACACATAGTTGTAGACAGATATTCATTGATTTATTGATGTTTTGAGTGACCTGTTGAAGCAGAAAGTGGAAACTATCACATAGCAACAAACTCTGAGTGTCCATACAGAACGTACAGGACACCAATGCTGGGCCTTGTGGTCCATGACTACAGGGTTAGTGCTCACACATGTGTCCTTGGGAGTGCCCTGTCTGGATCTGAACCCCAATTGTCAGCTCTGCGTTGCAGAAGGATGGTAACAACTGGCACGGGGCACACCCTCAGTGAGTCTCGGCAGTTTCTGCAATTAGGATGAAATTATGGGGCAACTGTCACACACCAGATGTCATCTTTGATAGCTGTCACTTAGATGTCATTTTCCTGCTAAGCTTGACAGTCTTAAGTGTACGTTATCAGCCCCAGGAACCATAATCCAGAGCGCTTCGTGAGTTTCTGACTTGAGTCTGTCGGCATCGCCACGAGAAGGAGCACTTGACTTTCAGAGTCTCTGCAGTTTTCCTTTCGTAAAACCAAATCATCAGTCCTCAAAAGTGTGTGACAAGTTCAGGTTGGGGTGGGTCAGGGACAAGTTGGAAAATGAGCCTCAAATCTTCCTCAATCGGCTTTAAAATGCACACCCATTTTAGGCCCCCAGCAGCTTATAAGCTGCACATCCCACAAACACCCTGTCTTTGCTTACGTGAATATAATTTTATATCACTCTAATAAAAAAATTGTTTTTAAGAGAGTAAATATCATTTGTTTATTGGAAGCGAATGCCCTGCTGTGACCTCTAAGCTAACACAGTCATTAGCTGATGAGTGTGTTTCTAAGCAGTTTTTCCCATGGTGGACGCTGTGCTGGATCCTGAATGGAGTAAGCAAAGAAACAAAGGGAATGACTACTCAGAGATGCCGTCATGGCACACGTGTTCTTTCTTCTCCAGAGAAGCCCCGTGAAGCTTGCTTCGATCCTGGGAACATAATGAATGGGACGAGAATTGGAACTGACTTTAAGCTGGGCTCCACAGTTACCTATCAGTGTGACTCTGGCTACAAGATTGTGGACCCTTCATCCATTGAGTGTGTGACAGGAGCTGATGGGAAACCCTCTTGGGACCGGGCGCTGCCTGCCTGTCAAGGTACATCTGACTCAGCTTCACACCTTCCTTCTTTGTAGTAATTTACTTAAAATACAGTCTAACAGTCCAGGCTATAATCCCCAGCCAAAGTGGGGGCCACTCACTCAGGAAGTTACTGCTGAGTCCCTAGGACAGTCCTTAGTCACTTAGCTGTTCTCACTGTAAATGAACAAGGTGATGTTTTTATTTTACTGAGGTGACTAGAAAAATTTGTGTCTGTTTTGTTTACTTTTTTATCCAATCCAAAGGAAGTACATGGTAACATTCTCCAGAAACTTCTCAATAAGAAGTTGAATACATATGGCAGATAAAATAGATGATAAGAAGGTAGATAGATAGGCAGATAGATAGATAGATAGATAGATAGATAGATAGATAGATAGATAGATAGATAGATAGATAGACAGACAGACAGACAGACAGACAGACAGACAGACAGACAGCTATATTAGACAGGTAGGCGGGTGGATGAACAGACAGCTAGATTGGTAGATAGGTGATATAGTTAGATGATAAATAGAAATGGACTATTTGCAAAAAGAGCTGTTTGGATTTCATACGACTGAGCTAAAATAAAATTGGTTTCTATTCCTTATGCTTCTTTTTAGAACTGTGGTTCATAAGCTTTTGAGAAAGCAAACCTTTTTCTGAAATAGGCAGGTTGAATTGGCACAGCCAAGGTGGAAATGACAATCACCTGTCTACGCCGATGGCCAGACTCACAGTATCTCACCGGAAACCTCCACTCTGGGATTAGTTACCCATAAACAGCCTCTATCCAAAAGGAGAATTAATGTTTCCATTTGCAAACTGTAAAATACTTGTTTCAGTTGGGGCTTCTATTTTTTGTACGAAAACACCAGGATCAAGAGCTGCTTGGAGAGGAAATGGTTAATTTCAGCTTAAAGCTCTCAGGTCCCACTCCATCCTCGAGGGAAGTCAGGGCAGAGACCTGGAAGCAGAGCTGAAGCCAAGGGCATGGAGGAACTCTGCACACCAGCTCGGTCTGTTTGTTATCCAACGAGGACCGTGTTCCCAGAGATGACAGTGCCGGAAGGTGACCTGGACCCGCCCACATCAACCTTCCGTCAAGCAATACACCACAGGCTTTCCCACAGCCCCAGCTGAGGGAGGCATTTTTTTTTTTCAATCGAAGTTTCCTTTACCCAAATGAATCTGGCTTGTATTAAGTGGCCAGCACTGTAGCCATGGTAGCTATTTTGGGACAATAAAAATACCATGAAATAAAGTATCAGAACTAATGAAATGGTTTGTTGAAGTTAGTTAAGCCTTTCCTGGTGGGCTGTCAGCTCTGTGAGCTATTGTCCTGTGGGAAGAGGTGAGCCTGCCAAGTCACGCAACGCAGGACTGGGGACGTCTCCTGACTGTCATTAGCTCTCCCAACAAACCAGTAACAAGAGCCGTCCCATTTCCATTACCACATTCCACAGAGTTTATTAATCATGGCGAATGTCCTGTTTGTCCATTAGGACTAACTGTGCTAATTAGCATTGAACAGATTAAACATGCTATCTTTATTTCTTTTTTTTTAACCACTTGAAAATTGCCATATAAAGAATAAATGAACTGTAATAATGTAGTGGATGGGAAAGAGGCCAGGAGGAAGGAAGGGGGGAGAAAGAAAGGGAGGGAGGGGATTCCAATCAAAGTACCAAGTATGATATGGGCATGCAGTGAAACTCCTTAACTTATAAGTATGAGCCGATATTTATATAAAAAGAAGAAAGGATCTTAGCAAGAAACCAAACTTTCTCACATCCTAGAAGTAATTGTGAGTTCAGGTCAGTGAAGGTGTCCCTAAGATAAAGAGCCATCAAATGGTACAGGAAAGGGCCCGGGGTTTATGGGAAGCTCAACTTGGTGCCTTGGTCCCCAGTCTCGCAGCATAGCTGAAAGGAAGAGCAGGTGCCAGCCCCTCCTGATATCACAAAAAGATGCCAGTGTTGGCGACTTAACTCACAACCTGAACAAGGAACTGGGCCTCAATTGGATGCTGGTGTCTTGATGCCCGAATAGAGCATTGACCACATGAACTAAAAGGTTTTCTGGTTTACCCAGAAAAGGAACAACAAAGTTAGTAAGATTATCAGGAGGAGGAAAAGGTCGATATAATCTCACAGTGTACACACACCCACATGCATATATACACATGTACACACATATACTCATGCATACACACACACAAATGCACATATACACACATTCACATACACACATCTATATAGACTCACATACACTTGTATATACACACAAACATACGTATACACATGTGCATACACACATGCACATGTATATATATTCCTAGGCATGCATATAACTATACATACATATATACAAACATATAATCACACAAATATCTGTAAACAAATACACATGCATATATACATAAGACATGCATGTATAAAATCCAAACATATACACGTATATACACATGTACACACACAGGCATATACACCATACACATAAATACACTCATAGACACATACATTCACATATACACACATATAAAATGCATGAACATATAAACATGAATGTCCACACAGATATATACACACATACATGCACATACACACATGCCCAAACAACCCATGGTAAATTCACTTTCTCTCCCCTCTTACCTCTTCCCTCACTTTCTAGTGACACTCCTTTAATCTTATCTTGAACTCATGTAAGACAGCCACAGAAAGGTATCCATGAAAGATTAAAACAAACAAAACTTTAAAAAGGCAAAGATCACTTATTTATGTGCTAAAAATTGACGGGTTCTTCCTATCTCTTAGATCAGTCTGATGACTGCTATCAACTAGTTGATCCTGGGAGCTTATCCTTTATCCAGTTACTTATTATTTTCAGCATAGTGGTATAGCTATTTCATTATTATTTGAAAATTCCTCAGACAGGCCTTGATAATAATGTCAATCTCTGGTCAAGTCGAAAGCTTTTACTCCTGATGTGGGTCTTTGCTTGGTGTTCCCATGACCCTCGTTGACAGTGCAGGGTCAGCTGTTGACATGGGTTCCAAGATGAGCAGGCTGAGCATACTTGGATCTGTCTACAGGGCTCACCTAACCCTGCAGCCACACCCTCACACACGCAGCTCACATTTCTCCTCTGGCTTTGTTTGCAGCACCCTGTGGAGGCCAGTACGCGGGATCCGAGGGGGTCGTGTTGTCCCCAAACTACCCTCACAACTACACAGCTGGTCAGATATGCATCTACTCCATCACGGTGCCCAAGGAATTCGGTGAGAAATCGCTATTGCTTTAATTCACTGCCACACGCTTTAGAGCTAATCTGTCTGTTGTTTGGTAAAAGCAGGACAAAATGATACAAAAGAAGCGCTGTTCACTGAAGTACCAGATTTTCTAAGCCCACCCCCACAGTGTCCCCTGATGCTCTTCTACCAGTGGGGTGTCATGTGTTCACATGTCCCTCAAAGGAGGCAGTGGCATCTCAACCACTAACGTGGCCCCCTTCCATGCTGTGTCCAGAAATGGCTTTAGAGTCATTTGTTTGTACATGTTGGGCGGGAAGCAAAGGCACACACAGGTCAAAAGCCTGAGTCACACCTCTGCACAGCTGGCTGGTGATATAGTCACCCTTGAGACTTTGAGATATATAGGCAGAGGGGTCCTGGGTGTCTTGTACTTGCTCCTGACTGGAAAAATGAATAGATATTGTGCGGTTCTTTACTGAAGAAAGCCAGATAATAATGTTTACAGTCTTACAAGCTATTTCCATCTTCCTCAATGGTAAACCAAAGAAAGAAAGAAAGAAAGAAAGAAAGAAAGGAAGGAAGGAAGGAAGGAAGGAAGGAAGGAAGGAAGGAAGGAAGGAAGGAAGGAAGGAAAAGAAATCTAGAAGCCACCATTTTCCCTTACATTAAAATCAACAGTCACATATTCAGAAATGGAGTATATAAATTTTAATGTGAGCATGTATTCGAGATGAAATATTTTTAAAGGCTTCTATTATTTTAAGTTTGTGAGCATGCGTATTTGAGCCACTTCAGTTCGAGTGATCTTACACCTCTGGCCCCCACAAGCACCTTCACTCAAGTGCCTGTACCCACACCCAGATACATATTTAAAAAATAAAAATCAATCTTAAAAAATATAGGTCATTGTAGGTCCTGAGTTTCTGTCTTTGCATCCAAAAGGAGCCCGGACCTCCCCTCATTTGAGCTAAGTCTGGTCCAGAACTGGCTGGATCCTCCCTTCTGAGTGTAGTGCCTGTGTTCAGCTCCTGAAGCTGCAACTGCCTGACCTTCCCAGCTGCTCCCCACTTCCAAGTACAGCCACAAGGTCATCTTCACAATGCTGCTACCTGGGTGTGCTGAGAGAATTTCCTTGTTTCCCCCTTTCACACCCAGACACGAGGTGTGAACCCTGCTTTTTAAACACTCTAATAATCTCCTCCTGGAGGCATCCATCCCTGAGGTGGGTTTGCAATACACCTGGCTGAGGTTGACAGTTCCGTGGCTTTGTTCTTTCAGCAGATGAGTTGGGTCTGTCTGCTCACCTGGGTAGAGAGACCACTGCTTAGTTTGTGACTGTGTGTCACATGTGTGCAGTTCCTGCAGGGGCCAGAAGAGTCCTGGACCTGGAGTTAGGGACGGTGGAGTCACCATGTGGGTGCCGGGAATCAAACCCCTGTCCTCTGCAAGAACAAGTGTTCTTAACCACTGAGCCATCTCTCCAGCTCCCATGAGTGCTTATTTTTCTAAGATTCCTGAACTAACAATCCTCTAGAGGGACCGTGAATGTGTGAACAAATTCTCCTTTGCTCTTAAGAAGACTATGGCCCACCCTCTCTTCTTTTTCTAGTGGTATTTGGACAGTTTGCCTACTTCCAGACTGCGCTGAACGACTTGGCTGAGCTGTTTGATGGAACCCACCCACAGGCCAGGCTTCTAAGCTCTCTCTCTGGGTCCCATTCAGGTAAAACTTTCAAACTATACAGCTACGGTGATTGTTTTAAATTCCTGTCCCCCATTATGATGAATAGGAAATGCAATCATCTTTGAATCTATAGGTCTGTAGATTTCAGGTTTATCATTTTACTTACTAACATTGTGGGGGAAATTCCATTCACCTCAAATGTGATATTCAGAAAAAGGAAGGAAACTGATGAATTTTGTTTTCTGTTCTATGTGTTTTATTCTCCCTTCCCGGGGTAAATCTATCATTTTCTCCTGATCAATTCCAAGCATGTATGTTACACAAGCAGGAAACATCCATGGACATTTTGGTTTGCTGTTGGGCCTTTACAGCAGTTCCCACAGATTCTCAGACACACATATCCTGCTGGCCCAGCTCAGCACAGTTACTAGCCCTCATCTGCGGATAAACCCTTATTGGGATTTTTCTGCACTGATTATGTGAATTAAGTAGACTTTTACTTTACCCAGAAGTGCTCATTGTGAGTGACATAGGTCTTAAGTCACCAAAGTTGAAGTTTGTTTTTGGTTTCTCTCTATTTCCTGATTTGCCAAAATCTTTGTATCTCAGCTTCGTGGATTTCTAGCGAGGCCGTATCATGTCATGCCTACAAATGCCTCGGGTGACAGACGAGCAGCTCCTCACACACAATGGCAAATCTGATGCATTAGCTTAGGGGCTAGGGATCTCGGGACTCTGTGTGCACTTGGGAGATACTTCCCAAGATGCTGTGCGTGCTGTCTGCTTTAAAGGTTAAACAGTTATTTCCAAAGTCTTTTGTGAATCCTTTAATGTTTCTAAACTGTTGACAGAATAAACAAATATTCTCCCAATAAAAATGAGCCTAGCAGGTCATGGTAAATTCAGCCCCTCATATGACTCTCAGGACTTAAACGTCCTGTGTGGATCAGCCACAGAGCGTGCTCCCTGTCATTCACAGTTAGCCTTCCATCATGACTGCTGCCCAGTTTATTAGACTCCACAAAGCAAGAACTGGCTTTAAAAATGTTCATAAAAGTAAGGTGCTTGGGTCTTAAACCCCTAAATCAAGTTTTGCTCTATTTAATTTGAAGCATTTATTGTGGACTTTCAAGTCCACAGTGCTTCTCCAAGAATGCCATCAACACAGCCCACTGTGACTGCCAGATCACATATCCTTGCCTCTGTTTAAATTTCCAGGTGAGACACTCCCGCTGGCTACATCCAATCAGATTCTACTTCGGTTCAGTGCAAAGAGTGGAGCGTCTGCCCGGGGTTTTCACTTTGTCTACCAAGGTGAGGGGGTTCCCTGCACACTGAGTTGTGTGCCAGGGTGAGGGGGCTCCCCATGTGATGCATTTTGTCTACCAAGGTGAGGGGGCTCCCTGTGCACTGAATTGTGTGCCAAGGTAAGGGGAGCTCCTGGGCTTTGAACACTGAGGAAAAATCAACAAATTTCATTCTTGTGACATTTAAAGAATTGAGGACATTTATCTATGTGAGATAAAATCACTTAATAAGAACAATTAGGTTTCATTTTGGAACATTAAATTGTACTTCTCCTTCTAAAACATACTATCTTATTTCCTATCGTTATAAAACACCAATACAATTATTGATTAAAGTATCTACATGTGGCTCTTCAGATTTTACAAAATGACATAAAATGCAGTATTTTATCTAATCATGTAAATCATTCATAATAATTTAGGTCAATATATATTGAAATATAGCTAAACATATGTTTAAAAGAAGCATATTTGTTGTGGAAAGTAACTGAAATTACAAGTTAACAAAGCCAAACCCAGAATGGCACTTCCATGCCCGTTCTTCCGGATAAACAACACTTTGTAAAATTAACTACTATGTCCCACACCTTTATATTTGCTTCTGTTTGTTGGTTCCATCTGAAGCTTATTTAAATAAATCTGAGGTTGTTTAAAAGTCCCCCAAAGTGAAAAAGATATCACACTCTCATTGACCTTTAATATTTATCACACAAACTTGAAGGTAGGGCGCAGAGAGCTGTGAAGCCAGAACTGACCACTGCACAGACGGAAGCTGCTTCGGGGCTCGCTTCCGGACTCGCTTCCGGGCTCGGCTTCCGCGTTCAGGCTCCGCTTCTGCTTCTGGGATCCGCTCCCGGGCTCCAGTCACAATTCTTGAATTTTTCTCCATAGTTTCATCCAGTCTGAAGATTACCATCTACCCTTAATTGTTTTTCTTACAATTATAGAAAAATCTGAGTGGTTCTTTCCCTTGATATGGAATTCTCCAGAAATTATCTCAGAAAAATTCTGCTTTTCAGAAAACCATGGAGGATAATAGTCATACCATGTGTTTCAGTTCTCGAAATCTCACAGAGCAGCAGTGATGAGCTCAAAATATTTCACTATAAAAAGCTTCAGCTTCCATTATCAAAATCACATAAACGGTCTTAGGCAGAGGGTTGGAGGATGTTGGCAGCACACAGGAGGAATATTTCCAGCCCTTTAGTGGCAGTTGCTTCAACATGGATGCTAGGGAATTAAAAGTAGTCCATTGTTTAAAGATTGTAGTTTTTGTTAACTGTAAATGACCGGTATGTTTTTAATTGATTTTGTTACAGAATGGCTAATTTAGGCAAGCTGACTAAGATTTTCTTCAAATAAGTTTGGAATTGCTTTGTCAAAGAAGATTCATTATCCATAATTCACATTTCTCACATTTCTTCTGTGCCAAAACCAGACTAATTGTTTTAAATATTTTTTTCCTCCTGAAAAAATTTACATTAACACTAGAAAATGAATTCAAGTTACTCTGAATCTTTATGAGGGACTTGCCTCTGATTTTTGACAAAGATTAAATCATTGATCAGATAAGTAGCAAATGATCCAAGGCCTATGTTACCCTCGAGTTCACACCCAAGTGGCATGTTTTGAAAAATAATTAAATCATTTTTGGGGACGTGTATCTGTGTGGTGGAGTCTGTGTGGTTTATGTGTTTGTATAAATGCCTGTCAATGTGTATGCATGTGTGTGTGTACACATGTGTGGAGGTTGATATGTCTTCCTCAGATATGAGGAAGACATATCAACCTCTCCCCTCCTTTTGTATAACAGGGTCTGACTCCGTACCTAAATTTCCCCAACTTATTCACACAGACTGTGCAACAAGCTTCAGGGATCCACCTGGACCCACAAACCTAGCCCCGAGGTTGCAGGTGCAATCTCTGAACCCTTCGTTTTAATTTGCATAGGGTTTTGAGCTCAGCTCCACAGGATTATATGGAAAGAACTTTACTGGCTGAGCTGTCTCCCAGTCCTGAAAAAATAGTTTCTTTCTATAAATCCATGCATCATCATTAAAAATATGTAAAACTACAGGAAACTCGAGAGCAAACATTTATAGAAGAAATTCGTTTTCCTTGTATAATAATAAAAAATGACATATTTAATGTCTTATAAAGCCCAATACTCCACCTTTCCCTCTCTCCACTAGTGAGTTCATGTAAAAATGAGTCTTTTATCAAAGCTAAATCCCTGGGAGGTATAAAGAAAGAAGCTTGTGAACTCAGTTTATAAACTACTCAAAGGCAAGGAGAAAATCTTCAGCCCGGCGGGGGAGTTGGATCGAACGCTGGTGTTTGAAAAGATAGTTATGTGGAAGCCAGCCATTCTTTGAACTCTATTGTATCCAGATGTTCCGAGCTGCGGCTTCGTGCACCAGTGCCAGCTTGGCAGCTTTGCTCATCCCTAAGTTATTAAAGCTTTGGATTACTCTGTGACTTTGTGACCTGAGGCTATAGGATGCTTGACCCCTGTTAGCAGGCAGACGGGCCATTATGAAGAATGTCTGAGGTGCCAGCCACAGTTATATGCAGCAAGACAGAAGTGCGCCCGGGACTCTGGTGTGAAAAGCTGTCCCTCCCTTCCCAGCCCGCAGTAACTGCTTCCTGGTGGAGGATATGGAGACTGGAGACAATGAGATCAAACATGTCAACATCCTCCAAGCTTCTGAAGAAATGTAGACCGTGACAGTTAGCGGTACTGTCAATCCACACTGCCTAGAACCAACTGGGAAGAGCATCCCAATGGGGGATTACTTTAGATCGGGTTGCACTGTAGGCACATCTATGGGGCATTTTCTTGACTGCTAATTAATGCTTTACTACTCAGCCCACTGGAGGCAGCCAGTCCCGAGGCAGAGGGTCCTGAAGTGTGTAAAAGTGAAGAAAGCTGGCAAGCGGGCAGGCAAGCATGCAGCATGGATGCTTCATTGCTCTCTGCTCCTGACTTTGGTTAGGGTGTGGCCAGCTGTCTCTCATTCTTGCCTCTGCTGCTTGCCTTCAGGAACCAGGAATTACAAACTCAACAAAGTCTTTCTGGACAGCGCCCTGCCTTAGTCAACTTCCTGTCAAGTCTTAGACTCTTTACAGATGTTAACACAGTTCATTGAAAAGCAAACAAACAACAACAAAAACTGCTGAAAAATAATCATAGCTAGAAGCATGAGTAGGTTCCTCTGAGCTGGGCTGGGAAGAGCGGAAGCAAGAGTCTCATTGCATGAAGCCCTGAAGCCCCATGCTTGGTCCTTTGCTGGCTTTTCTGAGATGCTGTCAGCTAAAGCATAGTTGATTTTGCCTTTCTAAAAAAATCACTTTTGCCATCAAGAGTTTATATAATGTAGTAGCTTGTTGCTTTTGTGAAGAACGTTTATGGTTAAACTATGTATGTAATTCCCTGGTGTTTGCTAATTCCCTAACTGGAACCAGCTTATCAGGCAGATCAGAATCCTAAACTCCCAGCCAAGAAAGAGTGTCCCTTGGTCACTAAAGGAAATAAGAAGCTGCACCATGTGCGCTGCAATTTATTCCTTGTGTTGTTCACTTCCTGTAACCACTTGCTGTGGAAGGCTACACACGTCCCTTTGATTGGTGATGGCACCGGCTGTAACTGGTTCCTGTGGAAGGCTACAGGCATGCCTTTGATTGGTGGTGGCACACGCTGACTGATGGATCACTCATTCTCTCCTAGGAATTCCGCATGAACTTTTTTTGTTTTGTTTTTGCTTTCCCCAGAAAGCATTGTGTGCACACAGCTAATGACTCTCGACTCTTGGCTCTGTAAGACTCCTTAGAGGAGCATCAGTCTGTAGCTCAATACAGTGGTGTGCTGTGATATATTTCCATGTCCCTTGTCTGCCCTCCAGCTGATTTCGCCCTCACTTCTCTCTCAACTACTTTCAAGTTTATTTCATGATGGCACAAATATTATCTAAGAGACGAAGAATAGAGACGAAAGAAAAGAACTCCCACACTCTGCCTTAAAGGCCTGGATGAGCAGGACCAGGAGGTCCTAATGGAGAGGAGGATTTCTTTTATTTTTCTGAATAATATTGATTTTATTATTTTCATAACCAAAAATCAAAAGAAAAGTAAGTAAATGGATGTTGTGGAACCATATCTGTACACTATAAATATACACTATAAATATATATTTATCTCATTGGTTAATAAAGAGCAGACTGGCCTATAGCTGGAAAGGAAGAGATTGGGCAGGAAAGCCAGACTAAAAAGATGCTGGAAAAAAGAAGGGTGGAGTATAAGGAGTACAAAGTGGGATTTCCCTCTGTATGCTGTGATTACCATTGATAAGTAAAGGAACAGCTTTGGGCCTATAGCAAAGCTATAGGAGAACAGAGCTAAGCAGGTGGAGGAACTAAATGGAATGCTGGGGAAAAAAAAGGAGAGTGGAGTCAGAAAGAAACCATGAAGCCACCAGAGATAAACGCTAGAAACTTTACCTGGTAAGCCACAGCCACGTGGTAATATATAGATTAATCACATGGGTTAAATTAACATTAGAGTTAGCCAATAAGAAGCTATAGATAATGGGCCAAACAGTGATTTAAATAATATGGTTTCTATGTAATTAGTTTGGGTCTAAACTAGCCAGGTGATCAGAAACCAACAATCGATCGGAGAGGAGGATTTCACAGCAGAATCCTGTCCTCTTGATGTTACCATGGTCCATTTAGCCCTGCCCCTGTCTCACACTTGTTCTGCCTTTCCTTTGCTTTCCAAACTTCCAGCTCCATGGAAGTTCTTTAGAGTCACATGTGCATACAGTACTACTCGTTTATGTAGTTGCCTTGACAACTGTAGAATCCTTGTCCACATCCACCACCCAAGGACCAGAAGACACGCAGCATTTCATAGACGTAGTCATTTATATCCTATGATAAGGAAATCTTCATCCCATGGGAACCCAGGGGAATCTCAGCAGAGGGAGAGCAAGGATGGCAGGTAATAAGACTTGGCTGTAGAGCTGGGTCAGGGTGACTACTATAGGAGTGGCCTCAGGGCCACTACATCCTTGAGCATCGTCATTTTCACATAGGAAATGGAAGGATCAGAGTAGAAGGAACACCGGTGTAGGGAAGAGCCCGTAATCATTATATGGGGTTCTTCATCTTGCTGTGGCACCCATAGTGCTATTGATGCTGTCTGGGATAGCATGAACACATAACTGTCTGAGATGTTTCTCCTGGTTGATAGAAGAGGTACCCTGCCCTTTACCATCAAGCCAGTGGCTCTGTAGCTATTATTCTTCACGTGATTGTTCATGGAATGTTCTACTTTAGGTTGTTCCTTGCTGCTTAATTTACTCCTCCCCCTCTACCTTCTTCAGTTCCAGAGCACACAGTGATAACATTTGATGATAGCGTTTACAACTGTCCATCTCTCTGTACTGAGTGGCTAGCTTATAGGAATAGCATTTTCCACCAACCCATCAGCGAGAGTTGACCCTAAGAAACAAAGTGAGGTTCTGGATTGTCACCTTCTGTGTCTAGTCTCAGAATCCTGATTAATCACACACACACACACACACACACACACACACACACACACACATACACACACACACACACACACACACACACTTACTGGTTTGTTTTGTGGTCTATGTGACTGGTTGAATCCCTGGCTGCAGGGTGCACCTTCCCTTGTTTTACAGGGTCTCCTTGCTTAGAATGATCATGATAGTGTATTGTTTTTCTTAGTGTAGTCGGAGCTACCGGCCATAAAGCCTGGCCCCAACCTGGCACTCGCTCCCATTAAAAGAAAACACCATAATGCATAGAGGAATGGAAACCAATTTGTTCATCTCTTCCCAATTGGATAGAAAGAAATTCTTCATCTGTGACTTCCCCACAGCTGAGTTGTGTCTTTCAGCAAATAACCACACAGCAGGAAGTGTGTGTTTATACATAGTCTAGCCTCTCTCCTGGGAGATGAGTCTTTTCTTGGGCCTCAAAGTTTATCCTGTAGGTGGTCACCTGCACTCCAAGTACAATATTCTGGGAGAATCCGAATTCATGGGGACTAGATTATAATTGTAGAGTGTTACCTTTGTCCACTGTGGTGGCACGAGATATGCTTTCTTGACAAATTAACTGTATGAATATTGCTAATGACAGTCCCAGCATGTTCTAGTAGATCTACAGAACTCCCTTCGTCCACACAATTAAAAGCCCAGCAACTCCCTGAGTCCCCTCATCCATCCCTGGCAGCCATCATCCAGTTCTCTACTCCAGAAACTGCAGCTGTCTGGGATCTTCCATGTAGGTGGAATAGTACAATCTGTTTCCTGCCAAGAGCAGCTTGGCTCCCTCAACACAGTGCCCTTCAGATGCATCCATCCCTGTGTGAATAGCAAGGTGTCCTTCATTTGTAAGGTTTAATAAAACTCTTGTGTGTGAATTCATAGATCGATCACATATGGTTATACAGTCATCTTCTGATGGACACTGTCTTAGTTAGCCCACAGTCATCTGATTGGATAGTGTCTTGCCTATATCAGATGGGCTGGCGGTCATGTCTGTGGGGGAAATGTCTTGGTTATTAATTAACGCAGGAGGGTCCAGTCGACTCTAGGCACCATCTCTTGGTTAGTGGTCCTGGGCTCTATGAGGAAGCTATCCCAGCATAAGGCTGGGTGAAGTGGGCCAAGGCAGCCTTTGTGGTTTCTGCTTCAAGTTCCCACTTGAGTTCCTGCCTTGGCCTCCCTCAGTCATAAGCTGTGATTGGGAAGAATAAGCCAAATAAATCCTTTCCTCCCCAAATTGCTTTTGGTCTGAAAGTTTTATCACAGCAACAGAAAACAAACTAGAATGGGCACTAAGTTTGTTTTAATATCTTGGCTATCATGTTGTTATTAGACCTCAAATTCGGCTCTTCAGGATGAATATCTAGAGCTGAAATGACGACAGGTCATGTGGCGGGTCCTATTTTTAATTGCATGATTTATCATCAGGGCCACATCTAAACTAATCATTTACAGGTACTTATCCCACCAGACCCAAATGTTGCTGAGGAAGAGCAAAAGTTATCATCATCGCCTTCTAATTGCCAGCACGATCATCTAGTTTTTAATTAATTTCAACCGCTTGAATGTTAATGAGCCAACACAGGCACTAATTCTCCTCATCTCCCAACTTCCCATCTGAGCGAAACCTCTGTGGTGATCCCCAAAGATACCATGGGAGGAAATGGAGACACAGAAGTGCCCCTGGGCTTGCTCCTCACAAAGAGGCTTACAGACATTGGTGTCCGCCTGCATCTACGCCCGTCTCCTCTGAGGTCGCTCTACCTCGCTCCACTCTGACACACTGGCTCTCTGTGTTTTACTTCCCCAGCCGTTCCACGCACCAGCGACACACAGTGCAGTTCTGTCCCAGAGCCCAGATATGGGAGGAGGATCGGCTCCGAGTTCTCTGCAGGTTCCATAGTTCGATTTGAGTGTAACCCGGGCTACCTGCTCCAAGGTTCCACGGCCATCCGCTGCCAGTCCGTGCCAAACGCCTTGGCCCAGTGGAATGACACCATCCCAAGCTGTGTAGGTAAGTGGGGCCCATGAGATGAAATGATGACCTGGGGCTGGAGCAGAACTCATGTCAGGGTTAGAGCCCATTCTTCACGCAGCGATCTTTATGAAGATCAATTGATTTTGTCTGGAGCCCAATAGCCCTGACCTTAAAAATCAGTGATTACTAAAACATGAGATTTGTATGTGCAAAATGTTTTCCTGCTGATGCTCATGAAGTCAGCCATCAGCTCTAAGGTTACGGAAAGAGATCATTTCCGTCTGTGGGGAAAGCATTAGGATGGTGGACTGTAGCAGTATGTGTATGACGTCATTTAATGCATTCACACTGATTTTGAATATTTGAAAAGCGGTGTGGATAACAGGCATTGTTAGTTGTTACTTATGACACTTTTTCAAAGGAACTTCCAGTGCAAGGGTGATTATCCCTCGAGTTTATCTGTACATTTTTAGCCCCTCCTCTTCTCCCTGGATTGCTCTGCATCTCACCAGTATGACCTGGCATTGCCTGTCTGCGGGTGAACAGGAACGTTCTACACACACCTTTACATTAAAGTAGAAAAATTATTCTAAACAAAACTCACTTCAGAGACACCTTCGTTGTAGACAGTCCCTTCTTAGAAAACCCCCAAGGAGATTTATTTGTAGACTTAAGACTTAAAACTCAGGTAAATGATGGATATCAGTCGCTGATGTTGCCCATTCAAAAGAGAAGAGATTAAATTTTACCTTAGCTAAAAATGTCACTTAAGAAACAGGAAGAGTTTCCCTGTCTGAGCACAGCCGAGGAAAGGAGACATCGATTCCTGTTACTTCATTTGGCTTTTACTTAACGTGGCTCTGTCTTTTAGTTCCATGCAGTGGCAATTTCACTCAGAGGAGAGGGACGATTCTGTCCCCAGGCTACCCTGAGCCCTATGGTAACAACTTAAACTGCGTGTGGAAGATCATAGTGACGGAGGGCTCGGGGATCCAGGTAGGGCCTCAGACCAGGACTGCTGAGGAAGCCGGGGTCCCCTGCTTCCCTTTCCTTCCTTCCCTGGCCCCCCTCGTCTCTCCCTTCCTTCCTCTTCCACTCCCCTCCCCTCTTTCCCTTCCTTCTCTCCTTTTCTTCTTCATTACTTTTTCTCCATTATATTATTTATTTAAAGATTTTAAAGACATTATTTGTTTATCTATTTGCTTTGAGTTATCTTGAGTTATGATTCAGCATAATGAATTTCATTCTGGCTTTTTCATACATGCTTTGCCCTCATTCATTCCTGTGCTCCCCTGATCTACTGCACTCCCTCCATCCCCTCCCACTGGTCCCCCTCCTCCCTACTGTGCTCCTTTGCACCCTCCTGTCATGGGTGCACAGGTGGAGATTAGTTTTTATTTTCTGAGAGTTGCTATAAAATGTTCCTAATTATTTTCCATGTGTGCAATAAAATTTTTTATTTACCTATGTTTTAAGGCTTTCTTTTATTATTTTTAATCAAGAAGGGTACATGCGTGTACAGTACCTAAAGTATAAGAGGACATTGGAGCTGGAGTTGCAAAAGGTTGTGTGCCATCTGCCATGGGTGCTGGGAACAAAACTCAGGTCCTCGGGCAGAGCAGTAAGTGCTCTTAAGCACCGAGCCAACTCTCCAGCCCAATAATTGATTTTTATACGTATTATTTATAGAGATTTTCCTATGTCCTCTCATATTAGTTCCTTTTTTCATATGTGTATGTATTTTTGAAAGAATATTTGTATCAATTCTGTGGCAGTTTCATACATGTATACAATATATTTGTTCCCATCCATCCCCCACCAGCCTGTCCTACTACTGCTGATACCCTTTTCCAATATGAGCCCCTTCCCATTTTCACATCTTCTCCGTTTATTGCATACCCCACTGAGCCAGCGTATTTTTGTATATCTTTGTCTTAGTCATGAAAAGCTCGTTCATGGGTTTAGATTAGTGTGGTTAAAACAAAACCCAGTAACCCTGCTTTGTAACTCTGTAGATTCAAGTGATCAGCTTCGCCACAGAACAGAACTGGGACTCCCTGGAGATCCATGATGGGGGAGACATGACAGCCCCAAGACTGGGCAGCTTCTCAGGTAGGGGAGCAGCTGGGCTTCATTTTGTCTGCTTGTGAATCAAAGCCATAGCCAAGCGGGGTACAGAAAACAGTCTGTGGGCAGTGCCCCATAGCTCTGCTTTCCCCATGATGTCTGCCGGTGTGAAAAGTCCAAGTGTGCAGCTGTAGGGACAGGAGAGAGGGAGGTGGCAAAGGGTCCCCGTGCAGGAGGCTATCTGAAGGAGCGGGCAACCCAGCGATTAACGACCTCCATTGTGAGGCCGGCCATGGAAGGGAGGCACCACTGACAGGCACATGGGAGGGGACAAGGCTGAGAAGAGGCTTGCCCGAGGGTAAGCAACCTGGAAATGAACCTGTGTACTGTGCCTCACTGAGGCCCACAGACTGTCAGGTTTCACTGTGGATAAACGGTGACAGTCGTAAGCCCAAACCCAGACATCCCCGGGTCACAAAGCCACAGACCTGGAGCTGTGGTCATGGGTAGTGAAGTCGGCCCCTGCACTTCCAATTTCACACGTCCTGAGTCACCTCGCCCAGGCCTTGTCCTCTCAGAAAACCACTGACAGGTTCACCTTCTTCCTCCTCCTTGTCACCATGGTCCCCGAAACTGAAATCATCTGTGCTCCGTTGTCCACCCCAGTCCTATGCATTACATGAGCTCATCTGGACTAAGTCCTAAATTTCAGACATAGACTCGTCCAGTGTGACACAGAAATGTCACAGGAGAGTTTTTGTTCAACAGAATCGTTCTTTTTCTGTTGATTTTTTTTTTATTGAGAAAGTAAGAATAGAAGAAGGATGGGTCTTTCACAGTGCTGACCACAAGATTGATTGTATCTTTCTGATACAGGGATGTGTCTCTGGCTGTCAGTGAATGAAAACATCTCTGCATGGCCAGCCGCAGAGGTGTGGGGTGGTACAACACCAGATACCGCAGAGGTGTGGGATGGTACAACATCAGATAGTGCAGAGGTGTGGGATGATACAACACCAGATACTGCTTGTCGCTCATTTCAGATCTCTGTCTGCACTTGGCTCTGTACACTTCGGGAATTTTACACACAGTGGCCCATCACCAAACAAGTCTGGTATGAAATTTCTCCACATAGGAAGCCTGAGTTCTCCAGCCAGGTGTCTCCTGTCACTGTTCTAGTTACCATGACATTTACAGAAATGTGTGTATAATTGACGGAGTGGTGGATGAAGTAGGCATCGTCTGCCATTCAGAGCAGCAGCTAAGCCTACACTTTAAAGTCTACATGTAGAATACCAAATTCAGTTTGATTTATGGCATTCTTTGTCTAAGCAGGAAGTGCTGGAAGATTAAGGGTGTTGGAGACTCGGGGGGGGGGATGCATAGAAGTCCTTCTGTAAGATGTGTTAAGGAAGAAACAGGTTAGTGGGGTGTAGCCACACTGAGAGGTGGAGGTATGTTCCCACAGTGAGAACCCTGCTGCTGCCTCCACTTCTGCTTCACTAAAGAAAGGAACCAGTCCTGTTCCCTGTGCACACTGGACAAGGTTCTTGGTTGGTTGTTTGTTTTAATTATTTGTCACTGGGCTGGGCAGGTGACTCAAGCAGGTTCCAATCCCAACACACAATTCACAAGAAACTTTCACTCCGATTCCAGGGGATACAGTGCCCTCTTCCGGCATCCACAGGTACCAGCCATGCACATGGTGCACAAACAAAACCCTCATCCACATAAACATAATTTAATTTAAAAGAGCATCTTCCATAGTTACCACAGCAATGCAGGACTGACACTCATTGCCTGGAGCTGGAGGGACTTTGCAGGTCCAAGGCAGAACTGACTCCTGACCCCATCAGACATGAGTGGGAAGCTAGAGTCGTAGGCCACCTATAATGTTGAAAATGAGCTGTAAATCAAGGGTTTCCGAGACCCCTCGATGCTGACGGGCCTCTAGAGCAGTTCATAGCGCTCCAAAAGCACCCGTGTACAATAGTGCTTGTGTTGAATAGAACAGAAAAGGGCATCAGACAGATGGGGATACTCTTGAGTGTGAGAAGAATCCCAGGCATTGGGATTTCATTCCTCCAAATGTGTCGCCTGAACTGCGGGGTCTAGAGTTTCAGGATGTTTCTATGACATAGTCAAGATTGACTGTATCATTGGCTGCCACATAGGCAGAGCTCAAGCTCTTGCTCTCTTACCTCTCACCCCTGGAAGTGGGGCTGTTATCTCACGGGTCAAGCCCCAGCCCTTAGCCACTTGACTGATGTCCCAGTGTGGCCAGCCCCACTCAGGGTTTCCACAGCATAATCCTAACTGTGCTTGTCCCAGAGTTAGTGGTCCATCGACTTGTCCACAAATGGCCAGAATATTCCTGTGAACTGGAAGATTCCCAGGGCTCAGAGATAGCCTAGATATGTGGCATCGCTGTCTATCAACCTTGTGACCTGATTTTAAGCTTGATTTTTTTCCTAAGTCATCAGATATACAAGGACTGAAAAAACTATTGAGACAATAAAATACTGAGAAAGCACAGGTGAAATGACAGGTGTGTGTCTTGTAACCTTTCCCCTTTGTATACTTGATGCTGATTGCATTATCTTCTGATCCATGCTGGCTGAAGCAACTGCTTTGAGACAGGGGGATGCTACAGTTATCTAAACGTGAAGCACCCCCGAGGCCCTAGCTGAGACTCATCTTATATTCTTTCCTAAACACTCCAGGTCTCTGGGCTTGCCTCAGGAAATCCCTCTCATAAACCTAACTGGGCCATTTGTAGTTCGTTGCAGCCAGATGCAGCTTGTTACTTTCCAGTTAATTAGTGGGAAATGAAAATTTGCAAATGTTTTCAATGATGAATATCAAAATAAAGTAAATATGGGTTGGGGAGGTGCCTCAGTTGGTAAAACACTTGCCCTGTAAGTGTAAGGGCCTGAGTCCAGTCTCTAGTCTAGAACCCACGTAAGAAGCCACTGTGACAATGCCCACCTGCAATCCCAGTGCGGGGACGATGGTAATGGGGTTTCTGGAGTTCTTTGGTAGCTGGTGGGGCTAAATCAGTGAGCTTCATATTTAGTGAGAGACCCTGTCTCAAAAAATACAGTGGGGGCGGGTGGGAAAGGAAGGCACCTGGCACATTCCCAGACGTGAGCACACACTAAATTAAGCTAGGTAAACAAGTCTCAAACAGTATCAGATTAAAAAAGTATTCTGGAAGACAACAGATCTAATTAAAATAGCCCTCGTGACATGGAACAAGCTTGCTTTATGTAATAGATTTTCTAAGCAATTAAGAAAGATTAATGAAGACCTTCTATGTTCATTTTAATCCAACACTTTTATATTAAATTACAAATTATTTCATTAAAACATACACTGCTGTGCAGGCCACTCTATCCAGAACAATGTGTAGATAGAGTTGGCTTTCTGGAGCGACTGTATTTTAGTTCATCCTGGGGATATTTGTCACAAATGTGAGCTGAGATTTTTTTTTAAGCATTTATAAGCTGCAACCTACTGCCCACCAGTTTCATGGCAGCAGATGGTCGTCACTGCTACCTACACATCTCTGCATGGGCCAATGTCTGTCCTCAACCTGAGCTATTGTAGGCCCATCTTCTAAACATCAAGTTTCCACTTGCATGAATAATTAAAAACAATAACCAAGAAAGCTCTGGAATGTATGCTCCTTGTGTATGGTACAGTATGCACGGGAAGGAGGTGCGTTCGGGGCCATGACCACACAGCTAGCTTTGGAAGAGCTGGTAACTCGCTTTACTCAGAAGCTCCCAAAGGGAGGGGAGCTCCCCATGTGATGGATCAGGCGCTTGCTTTGACAGACTTGTGAAAGTCAGGTCATTAAAACTGAGGTATCAGTTCTTCTCATTCCATCATCCTCAGTTGGACCAGACAGAGTCTGCCTGTCTTTTCTCTGTCTTCTGTTTGAGATGGATATCCCACCCGCCCGGGTCTACCCTATTTTGCCACTTGACGCTTTCTGGTTATATCACTTTGAGTCCATGTTTACCGTTCTCTTGCTGTTGTTTTTATTTCTCTCTCTCTGTATACACACCATAGTGTGTGAGTCCCCATGTCTGACAGTGCAAGTCAGCAGTCACGCAGACAGTGGCCTGGGCCAGCAGTATCTCCTCCACACAGGCAGTCTGAAGCCTGGCCTCTTCTCGAGGGTCCTGTAGTCTCTGAGCAAACTTAAAAGGCAGGACTTTTGCTTTGGCATTGAGCCAGTACTTGGTTCAACATGTCATGCTGGGAACACTGAGGGTTTTTGAAGGCAGCAGAATCTCCCTGTTTGAGTTCTTTTTTTTTTTTTCAAGGGTGAAATAGATTTAGAAACTACATACTGGATCAGTTTCCCTTCTACATGTTTTCAGGGTGGATTTTTTTTTTCTTTTTTGACATCGTTAGATCCCGAGCAAGAAGGCCAGGTGACAGTTGTAAGATTGGGAACTGTAGAAGTACCCAGTAAATGACAAGGTTAGGAACTGAGCTTACAAATGCACCAAGGGTAAAAGAAAGAGTCTTCTCCACTTTGGAGAACACAGCTCCATCACTGAATGTTTGAAGGCCAGAGGCACCAGATTTAGCTCAGAAACATGAGTGTGGAATTTATGTATATAAATTCATAAACATATATTCCTAACCAAAAAAAATGTGTGCATGCACACACACGTGTGTGTGTTGCAACCCCTCCACGTTGAGAGAGAAGTTGAGCAGTATTATTCCAATAGCAACAGATGCACCTAAGGCACAAATCCTGTCCTATTAATCGTCCTAAGGATTATCATGCCAAATCCCATTCTCAACCTGAAAACAGTAATTCTCAACCTGTGGCTTGTGACCCTTTGGCAGGCTCCAACAACCCTTTTGCAGAGGTTGCCTAAGACCATCCATTAGAAAACACAGATATTTACATTATAATTTATAACAGTAGCAAAGTTAGAGTTATGAAGTAGCAACGAAAATAATTTTATGCTTGAGGGGCAGCGTCATCACCGCATGAGTAACTGTATTAAAGGGTCTCAGCATTAGGAAGACTGAAAACCACTGCCTTGAAGACAGGACATTTCTAGGAGGATTATTGATGCATATGTAACATAATGTATGCAATCTGTATATAATAAAAATGTTTATTATATATAATGTACATGCATATACAACATGTGATTAGGTATTTTGTATATAATGAATGAAATTGATGTCTGTGAAATGCACCATTCTACGTAGATGAATGAATAGCTCGCCCACACCATAGACCCTGACGGATACATGGAAAAGGGTGCTAAACACAAAGAGCATTCTCAGCATAATAAGCATAATAATAATAATAATAATAACAACAGATTGCAACTGGAGTCTCTATGTTGAGCTGATAGACAAAGTGTGCACGAGGAGATGGGGTGCTCATGTCTCCATGGCCCCCACTAATACATACTCACTGCACAGCAGCAGAGTGGAGCTCATGGCAGACCTCCATGCACAGTGCTAGAGCCTGAACTGGGAGGGGCGTGTGCACTGGCAACCTCCGAGCCTGCTCTCAGAAAAGCAAATCAAAGCTTGGCCAACTGTCGCCTGGCCAGTGCCATCCTGTGCATGTTCTCCCGATGCTGGCCATCACACACGGCCAAGGCACTGCTACCGGCTCTCACAAGCCTGCACCACCAGTGCCCACCTGCCACACCGAGCAGTCAACAGCCAAGCCATACCAGGAGAAACACAGCATTGCACTTTTTCTTGCCACACATTCTTAGCCTAAATAGTGAGCTGAATGAAAGTCCAAAGATATTCCACAAAGCCTGGCTTGTTTTTATTTTTTTTCTAAAATTTCAAAGATAAAAACCAAGGGCCAAAGACTTGGGGTGCAGCAGCAATACTGTCAGTGATAATGGCTTCCGAGCTTGGCTGTCAGAGCCCTTGCTGGAGGAGAGCTGGTACTCACATGAAGTCTGGAGCGCAGGTTGTGCTGTGGAATCCACGTTTGCCTGATTTTGAGAAGCTCTGTGGTTTTAGTCATTAGGCATGCAGTGTGTTCAGGGACCACGATTCAGACTACTACGACATCCAGAGGTATGTGCACTATGAACACAGAGATAACTGTCGTATGTCCAGAATGACAGTTGAGACATTCTGGTTTTTTTTTTTAACTTAAATATAAAATATCTGTTCAGCTAGAAATCACTTCAGTTCTCTTAGGATAATAGTTTTTAAATTGGATATGATCTTATGTCATTGTAGACATGTATAAAATTCTCAACAAAAATGAAAGTTACATGGAGAAAATGCTATACAAGACCAACAGTTTGGATTATTTTAGCATAATCAATATTTAAGGATTTTGTTCCTGTGATACTTTAAAGTATTTCTAAAGCCCATTCTAAAGTATTTTAATTGTCGAATAAAAATAAATAAGAATGAGATGTCGTAAGAAGTACATATTTCCAAACAAAATGATTGACATCTTTAATAAATTCAGGGCTTTGGTTCTTCATTTCTGCTTGGGTAGGGATGTGTACGTAGATCTTTTTTAGCAAGCCGTTGAAAAATCACTTTGGAAGCAGGCAGGTTATAAATTATAAATGAGTAAAATAGAGCAGAATTTATGCAGACTTGTATCTGCCAGTTGGTATTAAAGGAAAGCAAATATCAGTAAACCGAGAGTAGACTCTGCAGGGACAATAATAAAATTTTGCAGCTTCCTTTGTCATGTGTCATTCTATCTGGGTCACAGTAAAACAATGTGATCAGAAATATTCTGCCGATAGCAACGTTTTTTAAAAAATCTCTCCTATGCATTTTGCACAGAGAGAATGAGCCCCGGATAGTAGACTACCGGAAGTCAACTCCAGTGAATGACAGGTGCAGGGCAGACCCTTGGTCCAGAGGAAGCCGGGCTCTAAGGGGCCCATTGTATATAGCATTACTGAAGCATAGGGCAGGCAGTTGTTAGATTTCATGGCTGATTAAAGAGACATAATTTTTCATCTGGAAAAGACATGGGAGTTCACAACTTAATGTCATATCTACCACTCATTAGCTCATCCGCGTACACGGCTTACCAAGATCTTCATGTTGTAAAATCAGAGTGCATTTACATTTCTGTAAGTGGCACGGGGTGATGGAGTTAAGTAGCCCCAGAGCCTGAACTAGAAGTGGGTTTCTGGGTCTACTGTACAGCGAGAAAGCAATGCTTATGTGCAAGTTACTAAGCTGGGAGCTAAGAATGCTCAGATAATTTTGGTAGGGCAGATAAAGGACACCCAGGCTGTGCAAAGTGAATTCCTGGGCTTGAATCTGGGGGAGTAAAGATGGGTCACTATTCACACCAGCAGCCTAGTGTGATTCCAGTAGCAAATGAGAAACTGTGGATCCTTCATTGTTTTAGGAGACCTGTGGTGCTGTGCTCATTAGTTTTAGCTGCCAGGCTAAGACAACCTAGGATCATCTAAACAGGTCTTCATGGCTGTCTAGATCAGGCTGGCCTAGGGGCATGACCATTGGACAGTGTCTTGACTTGGTAATTGAGGTGGGCAGCACCTTTTCACAGGCCAGTCCCTGGCCTATCAAAGAGTAGAGAAAGCAGAAGCAAGCAAGGATCCATTCTGTTGTTGTTGTTTGTTTTGGTTTTCTTTCCTTTTTTAACTCTGGACATGATACATTGAATTCCTATGTTAATTTCCCCCAAAATGATGGGCTGTAACCTGGAAATATAAGCCCAGTAAACCCTTCCTGGCCTGAACTGCCTCTTGCCAGGGTATTTTATTACAGTAACAGAAATGCAACAAGAATAGGAAGAAAGCAAAGAAGAGTGTTTCATTGTAGGACCGGTAGTTATTTAAACAGAGCAATGAACTATAAACACATAACATTAGGTTCCCCCAAATGTCAGATAAAAATCAGACCGTGGAATGAAAACTTGGAAAATGAAGCTATTAGGGCCACAGAAAACATCCTTCTTCCTCTCTGTGTGCCAGCCAGATGACCAGTGTGCAAGATGAAACATGACAAGCGTCATGGGAATCCCACAAAATCAGTCGCTGTGCACGCCCTTAGCCAAAATCTTTTTTGTGTGGATTTTAGAAACAGTCTGAGATTGAGCAATAAGCAAAGCAGTTAACATCCTCCACCTCCACAATTCTCTGCCATCCCAGACCCTTCTGAGGCCTCGGGGCACCCTGCTGGAGGCCTTATGACCAACACTTCCCTTTGCTGAGGCTGGGCCAGGAAAATGTGTTACCTAAAGAGGACATACCTACAGACGATTCTCCCACAGCTGTTCAGTGTTAGACAGCGATCACCTATCCATCTGTTTAGATTTCTCATCTGTCTGTCTATTCATCTTTCTTTTTTTCTGTGATCTATAAACTCAGAGCCAAACAGCAAAGGGCTGACTCGGCAAGAAAGCATTCTGGAAGAGACTTTTCCACCTTATACTTAGTGGTCTTGTTGTGGGTTTTATACTGTTGATTTTTCAAAAGAACTCCCACTTCCTGAATTCAACTGCCTTTGGCATCAAGGGAAAAATGACTGAGGTACAGACCCCAGATCTCAAAGGGACAACCTAACTTCCTAAAGTCTAACACACATGTGCACACGTGTGTGCACACACACAAAGACGAATAGATAGGGGTTTCTCTTTTCTTGCCTCTTTTTCTTGTTATTGACCTCCTAGAACATTTTAAATAATTTTGATCCCAGTTAGCCAATGAGCCAACATTATTAGATACAAACATATATTCAAAGGTTTGGTGAATTTCTAGAAACCTAAAGAAAGATCCAGATGACAACCCAAGATTAGCAAGAAGGTTTTACCCTACCCTCAGAGTAGCATCATCAGAAGCTCACATGTGCTTGTCCAAGGATATTTCCCAGATACCAACTCTCTCATTCATTCATGTCTTTCCAGCCTTACCATAGCCTCTGCCTTTCAAAACCCTCAGCTTCTAAAACCAGAGATTTTGGAGGAAGGGGACATCTCAGTGTCAAAGGGATGAGGGCCAATTGGTAGGGAGGCTAGGGAACTTCCTGACATAGATTTTACAGAAAAATAAAACTAGCAGAAGATCTCAGAACAATAATGGTGGCTTAGTGTACCAACAAAGGCTAAATTCAGGGCCAAGGAGTCGAGGGTGGTACCTATAAGAAGTATATTAGCGGTTTAGAATTACTGGACACCATAGTACTGAGGAGGTTGGGGAGGAGTGGGGGGGGGCTGACAGGCAAGGCCCCACAGTGTAAGAATCTCCTACCCTGAAGTAAACCCAGCACTAACTAGAATCTGTCCCAGGGCTACAGAATTTAAAGTACTCACGTTCTCAAAAGTTGATTTCAATTTTACTAAATAATGTAACAGACTGGATTTGTCTAGCCTGGGGGTATGCAAACTAAATGCATTGAGATAGGCAAGTGTCTGGAGACGGAGTGGCTCTCCCCGCAAACTAGGTCAGACTGAAAGTAAGAGCCCTGGGTGCAAACAGTTTGTTTTCCAATGGCCGCAACCACTGCTCAAAGGTGTCTTTGCGAGGTGGAGCGACTGGGCAAGCAATGGTCATGTCTCCAGCAGTCAGATTAAACACAGGAAGCCTGGGATTTGGTCGTCCTTGTTCGGCTTGTGGAACACTTGCCTGTTTCATGTTAAAGCTACCCCCCTCTTCCCCATGCAGGTACGACAGTGCCCGCGCTGCTCAACAGCACTTCCAACCAGCTCTGCCTGCACTTCCAGTCAGACATCAGCGTTGCTGCCGCCGGCTTTCACCTGGAATACAAAAGTAAGATCAACTGCTGCTTGTGCCTGGCTCTGGGAGCAGCGTTCCTAGAGGGACACACCCTGCGCGTCTTCAACGATGAAATGTTATTGTCGTGAGGCGTTTCTAAGGCTTGGGCGACACTGAGTTTCACGGAACATAGGCTACAGGAAGGGCACTCTGTACAAACTACAGACTGTGAGAGCAAAGGCAGATGTTAGCATCTGGAATAATTAGTGGAACCAAGTCTCTTCAGGCTGTTTACCTTAGGCCGCACAGCTAACCATTTGTAATGGGACTGACTTTATGTGTGAGGACAGATATAGTCACCTTCCAAAACACAGAGTATGGTCATCTGACCAGCTAATGTCGTGGAGCTTTCCTTGTGGACTCTCAGAGACGCTAAAACAAGCGAGACTAGTTAGCACTAGTGAGAGCAGGCATTTCAGAGCCCGTGTTTGTGTGTTACTCATTTTAACTGGAGGAGACAGCACAGGAGAGAGGTAAATCACTGTAAAAGTGGATGTGAGGCCGCATTAATAGTCCGGTAAGTGGGACAACCAAGGTCAAATTCACAAACCCACTGCAGTGGCGGATGCTTGGGGCTAACCTTGTAAACGTGAAGTGTGAGTTTCCCGCAAAAGTGGGGTTTATTTGGGACGTGTTTTCAGGCTTCAAAACGGCTCAATGTTGGCATTATCTCCTCTAATAAGCGGTTGCTAGTGAGCAAATCCGTGGGTTAGCGTCAATAAGTGATTTTTAAAATTGAGATAAACAGTTTGCCGGAGTGTAATGCGTGTGTTTTCAAAAGGCCACATTCCAGCTGACGATAAATATTCATCTCCAGCCACCATCCGCAGGCCCCGTGCATCATCTGCCTGAGCTTCCCCACTTATTACAGGCATTTGCATGCAAACGCGTTCTAATTTATGGGAATAGGGCTCCTCTAGTGACAGTGTAAAATGACCCTGCAAATGCTATTTATGTCGAATACGTCTGGAAAATTCTGCTATGCTGATACATTTTGCGAAGGTTCCACAGATAGCAGATGAAACCCTTATTGGCGACTACGGTGTTAACCAGGCCATTGAAATGTTCGCCCTGTTGGAACTGATCATTGTTCTGAGCTGTTGAGAAGTTATCTTACAGTCTCTGGCTTTTCCCTCTCTTTCTGGGGAAGATGTTGGTAACGTAATTAGGCTGTGATTATTGGGGATAATTATGTACTTTGCACATGGACTGTAGCCCTATTAGCATAATTGTCTCCATCCCACGATATTCTTAGTCAGTATGAGTCTCTAGCAGAGAGACTAATTTCCTCCAATTGCCCGTTGAAATGAAGCCTCTTCGGGAACCCAAGGCCTTGTGTGAGAATCCAAGACCATAATTAAGTAATGTGTTTGCTTTTCATTTGATCGAGTATGATATGATATGGACTGTTCCAGGTGGTTGTCTTTGTGGCTGGCACTGTTTGAAAACGCATATCATCTATGCATTAAAGGGAACTCAGCTCGTGGCTCTGATTTTTCATAATCTCTTTTAAATGGGTATTATAAAGTATTTATAGAATTAGCCTTACCGCTCTAAAGACTGTTGACTTAAGTTGCCAACAATCTCTAATATTTCAATATATTGATATGTATTTAGACAAGCACTATAAAATGTATATTTACATATCTCTGCTAAGGCCTCTAAATTCATGATTTTAGTAAAATGTCTATCCATAAAATGAGAAGAAGAAAGCAACTCCTAGAACACATGCCATGCAATCTACTTGAGCTGCTTTCTGTCTTCTGTGTTTCTGAGGTGAAAAAAATAAAGCAAAAAAAACCTGTCACCACCATGATGACCATGTATGCAGAGACGCACCAAGCATTTTGCCAGGAATACTGTTTACCGAGCTCCTGGGGGCCAGGAGCCCCCACTGCCACTGAGCAGGGATGTTGCAGATGTCCCTGTGTTGGCAATGCTTGCACTGCACACAAGCCCTGCTCTGTATCCGCATCCCGAGAGAACTCCCCAGTCCTAGTGTGAATGAAGGCCAGGCCTTCTTAATCCAAAGGGACACTGCGGAATTCTCAAAGCCAAACCACTTGCATTTGATGGGGTGGTGCGTGTAGCTCAAAAGTGCATGGTTTAACATGCATGATCCAGAGCATCTGTGTGTATGTATGTGACCTAGCAAGCCTATCACATGGACATATAGCATCTCTGAGCACTTGAGTGTCTAAGAGTGAAGATTCTGGGAACCCCAAGGCACTTAGCCCTGCTTTTCGACAAATTGGTGCACTGGGGTCTTTGGTGCCATCCCCCTACAGAGAGCCTGTGGTCAGGCATCCTATCTTGGTCTCTGAGCCAAGGGAAACTTGGGCCCAGCCTTGGGAGGTTTGCTTGGGTGAAACCAGCATGTTTCCCCAGGCTCTCCCTCTCCTGTGCTCCATAGCAGACAGTGTCTGTGCCTCCTGGGAGTGAGAATTCCATCAGAATTCAGCTCACCCAGGTACCTCAGTGTTGTGATGGAGTCAGAAAGTTTCTTATTTTATACTTCAGGCTTTGCTTGTTAGAACAAAAGGGATGCTTTCTTTTTCAGATCCTACAGCTCAGATGGATGGGATTTCTAAATTGCCCTCTGTCAATGGGTATTAGTAATTTAGGTATTTTTAAATTGCTGGGTTTTTTGTTTTGTTTTGTTTTGTTTTGTTTTTGTGTTTTTAACTACGCTTGGGAATTTTAAGGGTTTAAATTGCTCTAGGCCAAAAAAGTTAAATTACTGTTCCCAGGGAAGCCTTAAAATTCTGCAAAAGACCTTAAATCTTTTGAAGTAAATAATAAACCTTTTAGTAGGGTGGTATCATAATTGAGTATTGATTAGCTGACAACCTGGGTTACCCTGACTATAATAATCCTTATATATAAAATGGAAGTGTACTTTAATGACAATCTTGTGTTAGTAAATACTCATGAGCACCCTGTTGTCATTGGTGGGCCTGATTAGGTACCCATGAGATGGAGCTCGGGCAAGAACCTTGCTGTTTACCAGCACATTAGAGCATTCTTTGTGTCTCCAGTGATGAGGATTGCATCCCTTCAACAGAGGCTGGCAGCAAGCATTTGCTTACAGTGCGGTAAACTGACCTTACGCTGCACATCTCAGGTCTCCGAGATTTATCTCTATTTACTCAGCCACTGATTCCTAAGGTTTTCTGTAAGAACTTTCACTACCAAAAATTTCCCATCAGCTCTCTTTTAGGCTTCCCCTCTCCTTACCAGAAATGCCTTCCTGGATATAAGTCAATCATTACGCTCCCCTTCCCGCCCTCATTGGATCTTAACTGTATTGAGGAACTTGGCAGCTTTTAGGTAATGTAAATTCTGGCCTTTGTCTCCATCCCAGAGAGTTTCAGAGAAGCTTTTGAGAAAGTGAGGATTACCAGATAATCATAGGTGCATGGTACCTTTTGCATATGTTACATGCAGCCCAAAAGACTGCAGACAAGTTAAAAGTTTGTTCCTACCTGTGACCTTTGGGTTCTAAAACACCATGTAGTTCACTGTAGAAGTACGATCTAAGTCAGTTCCACAGTTGCCCATCTGGGCAAAGGGACTGGGATTTTCCACACTGTTCTGCCCTAGTCTTTTGGACTCTCAGATCTCAGAAGATTTGAAAAGAGCAGGGGGCAAGATAGATCTTCTTTTTCTACATAGTAAATCTGAGGCAAACCAGGGATGCATAAGACCCTATCTCAAAAGCAATAGTGAATAAATTAATTACCTGAAAAGTTAGGTACATTTATAAACATCATTCAAAGTGCAAAGTATCTTGAAAACCCAATAGTTCTATTTCATTAATCTTCTACCAAGTTCTTAGTTGCTTAAATAATGAGCAAGCTTGTCTTGAGTGTGCATAGTCTAATTATTTGTTTTGAAGTTGTGTTAAGAATTGAAAGTTCTTAAATGTGCTCATAAAATTTTGAGTAATATCAGAATCCAATGTGTTATAGTATTATACATATTGGTCTTATAAAATGTTATTCATCACCGTATTCTTAAAAATATAGATTCTTACACCCCAAGAAGAGACAAGGTATCATCAGGTTTCCTCAAATCTCTAGAACAATGAATATTATACATATGAATAGACAACAGTCAAATGTGTATTTTAAGTACATGGTACCATAATCTGCGGGTACAATACCTCACTATAAATCATGGGTCAGGAACTCATCTTTAGGTCAAGTGTGGTCAGCTGTGTTGGCCTCGGGGATGATTTCATGGATAGCTGGAGATAAGCAGGCATACTGAACACATCTGTAAAGATGCTGATTGCTCCCTGTGGTGTCTTGAATGGGCTGTCCCCATAGTCTGAACATTTGAATACTTGTCCCTCACTGGTGCCTTTGGGGGAAAGTTTGAGAGGCATGTCCTTGCTACAGGAGGTCTGTCACTGGGGGAGCACTTTGAAGTTTCAAAAGACTCTGCCATTTCAACTTTGTTTTCTTTGCTTTGGTCCTTTTCCTGTATGCCTTTAGAAATTTGACCTCTCAGTTGCTGCTGCTGCTGCTGCTGCTGTTGCAGCCGCCGTTGCAGCTGCCATGTCTGCCTGCTACCATGCTTGACTTCCCAGTGTGATTTTGATGGACTCTTATCCCTTAGAAACCATAAATACAAATAAACCCTTCCTTCTCTTAGTGCCTTTGGTCATAGTGTTTTATCACAGCAATAGAAAACTGACTGATGCGGTCTACTCAACAAAGAGCTAATAAATAAAAACATGTCATATATAATAAATGATAATAAAGGCATGTCAGACGTTGTAAGACACTAAAGCAAAATGAATGTATTAGAATTCTGGATAGATTCAGCTAAGAAGATATTGTTTTAATGTGTTTTGCTCAGTGTACCTGCCTGACCAATGGGTCTACTGAATAGTAGGGATTTCAGTCAAATCTAAATATCTTATAGTTGCTTACTTTTATTTAAATAGATGGAGAAAACTCATGAATACAGAATTTCATCCAGTTTAC